ATAATGAGCTTAGAGCTGAGTTTATGTGAAACAGCAAATTAGGTTTAATGTTCAGATATTTTGGTTGAATTAAAAACCCAGCTATGAATAATGATCTTGTTAGTAGCTCAATCTTTACAAATATTTTATCTTTATAAAATAATCTACTTATAAGGATATATCTTTACTAATTTTTGAACGAATAATAATAAATTTCTAGATTAGAATTGAATTAATAAATGTCTAGATACTGGATTTGCAAAAAGGAATTTAATATCTCTATATTTAAAATATAGCAACACAAAATAAAATCCTGGAGAGATATAACAAGTTCCTTGTCAAAAAAATGTTCTTTAAGAACGTAAAACCTATAGCTAAACGGGAAAGCAAAATATAAGATTCAACCAAGTAGTAGAGATTGTCTCAAACTTTGATATTTATACCTATTATTAAGGTATTCAAAAAACGATGACTTATGACTTACGTAGATCATGTCTTTTGTTGTGATTACTACTTGATATTTGGAACAGTTATTAAAAACTTATCCAGTCAAATTTTAAAAGAGTAATCCATTTTGATTACAGCTTACAAAGGTTAAAAACTACATTTCAAAATTTTCCTTTTTTAACACAAAGGTACCATTTTGACTTGTTGCTAGAATAATTATACAACGAAGACTGCACTACAATTTTAAACGACTTTTGGCTTCTTTCTCCCTCCATTCTATTATACCTCATTGACCATTTTTGTAATTTTCATAATTGACCATTTTATCTTTCACTGAAGTATTTTATGGATTCACACGTGCATACTAGAGATGTTGGGATTTATGTGTTTTTTGGAACAAAGGTAAATTTTGGAACATCGCTTCTTTTTGACTTAACAAAAAAAATAGTAGGTTGTATATAAAAAAAAAAAAACTTATTGCAAAGATTCCAGTCATAATTGTATTTTAAGTCGGATTTTTTAATAGTTGCCGTTGTTCAAGATCAGGCTATTTATTGAAAAAACGATATTTTGGGGTAAGTTGGCAAAATTTTTACGGGGTTTGTTGGCTCATGGTATTAATTATGGGTAAAAAAAAATTTGTTTTCAAAAATAATAAAAGATATTGAGAAAATTTATTTTCTACTAATAAAATATTTTACGAGAAAAAAGTGGACTACTAATTTGGCTTATTATACAAACTATTATTTGCAGCCAACTTAATGTAATAATAAATTTTTGGTTTAATTTGTTACAAAATGTACTATTAACTTGTTACAAAATAATGTACTATTAAGTTTTTGATTTAAACTTGTTGCGAAAATACATAAATCTAACATCCTTAATACGCATTTATCAAGATTACTACCTTACAATAAACTGAAAGATGAAATGATCAAATTATAAAATTTTTTTTGCATCTAATAATACTTTTGTAATCTTTTTTATGGTTTGCGTTAAATTACCTAAGTTGTTGACCTTTATTTTCTTTGAGGCCCCGAAAAGCTAATAAGAAAAGTAGTTTTATAATAAATGCAAATTAAAAAGCCTAAACTTAAACTCTTCAAAACCTCTCTTTAAATATCAATAAAAAAAGTTCATATAAAGCTAGTATTATATACGAGATCGAGTTAACTAGCCTCGGTCTCTTTTATATAAATAAAAAAATAATATTTTTATCTGAACCAATTGAAATATAAGTCACAAAGTATTAAAGTACGCATTTTTGAATTTTATGTTTACAACTCCAATATCTTTTGGGATTGAAGTTCTATTTTTATGCAAAGCAGCTAAAAAATACACACCAGTTTGTAAATATTAAAACATAAACGTTATTATAATTTACATATATACTGCACTTTAATTTTTAACAATTTCACGGATTTTTGTGAATGTTTACATTTTTTTAATTTTTGGCTACATTAAAAAGATTTCCATAAAACCACAGCAAAAAATGAGCTTTTGAACACAAGTAATAAGTATTTGCCTGTGTTAATTATTTATAAAGCTAATAATAAACGTAGTATACTTTTTTTTAATTTAGCTTGACTGTTTTTTTCAAGCTAATACAAACACCTATAAAAAAAAATTTAGGTTAATTTTTTAAGAGCTAAATATTAATATCAATTTTGTCAACGATTTTTTCCTCATTTCTAGTTAATTTTTCGGATTTTAAAAATACAGACTGAAAAATCTCATGAAATAAGACCGTTCAATAAAACACAATCTTAAAAAATTTGCTTAATAATTCAAACGGAAGGTAAGAGCTTCTTACAATTAACAAAAAACCCTGCGATTTAAAAAACTGTCGATATTTTAGACTCACAACAAGAAACAGCTGATCAATAATTTTTCATAACTGCGTTTGAAAAAAGCGCCTGAAATCAAACAGCGGAAACAAGTTAAACTTAATTCTGGAAAATTCAAAATTGTAAATTTTACAAAATATACACTAAGACGTTCGTAATAAAATAAAACTAGAAAAAGATCTCTCGAACAGCATCGATACCCAACTCAATTCAGTTTTGTGATGTGCAATAAGATGTTTGTTCATTCGAATGATGATAATACTAATTAAAGCAGTCAGATTTTATGATATTCAAATAACTTGAAAACTTCTTTGTTGATTTGTGAGTCGGGCTATAATTTTACCATCGCTTATTGAATTGGCACCAGTTTGTTCTTAACAGAAAATAGTCCAGATGATGACGATATCAGTCTTGTGATAGATAGTATGCATGAGATGATTGCAGATTTGAATTGAGGTGTCTCGAAGTTCTATGAAAACTATGAAAGTTATGGTTGTGGCTTTAATACAAAAACTTTGAGAACATTTTTAGTCGCTTTCTTTGAAAAAACTTTTTTAACCTAAATTGTAATCTTAGCTCGAGTTCTCCATCACATTTTATTCGAGAATCGAGTTCTCCATCACATTTTTGGTTTGACAAAAAACACTCGTTTTGATAAAATGTTCCTTATTTGACGTCCTCTAATATTATTAATTAAAAAATTTCGTTTGATGTTAATTAAAACGAAGCTCTCGCTTTTTATGATTCTTTTTTATATTTTTATAATTTATTTCAAATATATATATATATATATATATATATATATATATATATATATATATATATATATATATATATATATATATATATATATATATATATGTATATATATATATATATATATATATATATATATATATATATATATATATATATATATATATATATATATATATATATATATATATATATATATATATGTATATATATATATATATATATATATATATATATATATATATATATATATATATATATATATATATATATATATATACGTCATATTATATATACGTCATTGTTATATATACGTCAAATGTCTCATAATCACATTTTAAAATATGCACAGTAACTATGCTATTGTGAATAGCAACTGAGCTGTTGTGAGTGTTTGTGCTTCTCAGCTTATTTAATTGCCTTTACCCCTTTCTAGTTACTACCGTTTTGCCCCTCCACCACCATTTTTATATTTATCAATACTTTTTTATAATGCGTTGTTAAAATTATTTTATAAAATTTAGTTTTTGTAATAGAAGACATACTTGGGAACTCCAAAATGGAAAAAAGTTACAATTTGCTCTTACTTAACCCTTTACTCCAAGCTTACCCAAAAAAACTAATTTCTTATATTTTTAATAGAGAGAGAAATAGAAGATTAATATAAATAATTTTAAACGGGGCTATTTTAAAATTTTCTAAGCACCCATATAGCAAGTTAAACTTACATATTTTACAAATATTAATTTAATATAACTTCTTGAACTTGGTTTTCATCATTGTTTAATTTATTAAAATTTGTTCTTTTTCATTCAACTATTTACCGGTTTAGATTTTAGTTTTCATACTACCTAATATCAATAATAACTAATAATATTAACTAAATAAAATAATAATGATTAGGTAAAATAATAATAACTAGGTGTTACATACTTGACTATCGTGAACCGTGTAAAAAGTTAACTGTAGTAAAAATGAACTCTATTTAGAAAAAAACTGTTGACTTAAATGTTATTATTTTTATTTTGTCATATTTCTCCTTGAATATCCTAACATCAGATCTATGCTAATCAATAAAATTACTAGATTAACACATAAGAAAAATAATTTTACATTACATTTATAGTAACAACGTTTTACAGTATAAGGATTCCGATCTTAACCCCAAATATTTCCGAATTTTTATCGTCAAAAGATTTTTTTTTTGTCAATAATTTGGTCTATATCTAAAAAAATCTTGAACATCATGTAAAAAAAATTTCATTATCATGTCCAATATATTCTTTTTACAAGTTTGTAGTTGTTTTTGAAACTGTAACTATTTAAATAGTTATAATAAAAATAACAACACTATTAATGATAATTTAATAATAAAATAAACAAGTTGTTTTGATTAACACTATTATTATTGGAAGTAAAAATCTTGCAACGTAATAACTTTTTACTAACGTAAAAACGTTTTAACTTGTGAATAAAAATATAATATGATACTTTTACAGTGGAGTTAAGAACAAATATTTCATATAAAGCTATAAAATTTAAATAACAGTACTTTATAAAAAACCTATCCTCTGGATCTTTATATAAATGTATTGGGTAGGTACAGGGCTAAGGACACTTCCTTAGGGAGTGCTTAACAAACCCCCTCTCCTCCCTAGAATAATTTTAATTAGAAATTAATTAATTGGTAATTTTAGCTGATGTTTCTATAGTAACTTTAGCTCAAACTACCATAGAAACATTGAAGTTTTTTTTGATTTCTGAAAATTACTGTAAATTTTAAAAATATTTTCAAAAAATACAAAGACACGCTCAATGCATTTAAAGCGATCTTCTTTTCAACGTCAATAGAAACGTTATAATCTTTTTGTTTTTTGAAAAATTTTAAAAAACTTACAGTAATTTTCAAAAACTAAACAAAAAAAAGTTTGAAATGGATTTGAAAATTTAATAAAGTTTAAAATTTTTTAGGTTTTGTACAAAAATGGCATTTAGATCGTCACAGAACTGTTCATTTCGGTATAAAACCATTCACTTGTCCTGACTGTGAAAAATCATTCGGAAGCCAATTCCAATTAAAGGTGCATCAAAATTTTATTCATAGAGGTATAATTTTCTAAATACATAACAAAATAATTATTAGTTTATTAGTAATTGTACTTTGCTATTTTGTATAATTGTATTTATACTTCCATGGGTGGAACTAGAGCTTTTTAAGTGAGAGGGCTTGGATCGGGGCGGCAAGCTGAATTATGAAAATCAAATTTATCAAGATCACTGAAAATCATGTTTTAAAAGTACAAAAATTTTTTAAAAATTAAATCATAAAAATACTTGCTAAAAATATTTATGTAACGAGATAAAAAAATATCCAAATATTTATGTAACGAGATAAAAAAATATCCAAATAATTATGTAACAAGATAAAAAAATATCCAAATAATTATGTAACGAGATAAAAAAATATCCAAATATTTATGTAACGAGATAAAAAAATATCCAAATATTTATGTAACGAGATAAAAAAATATCCAAATATTTATGTAACGAGATAAAAAAATATCCAAATATTTATGTAACGAGATAAAAAAAATATCAAAATATTATTGTAACGAGATAAAAAAATATCCAAATATTTATGTAACGAGATAAAAAAATATCCAAATATTTATGTAACGAGATAAAAAAATATCCAAATATTTATGTAACGAGATAAAAAAATATCCAAATATTTATGTAACGAGATAAAAAAATATCCAAATATTTATGTAACGAGATAAAAAAATATCCAAATATTTATGTAACGAGATAAAAAAATATCCAAATATTTATGTAACGAGATAAAAAAATATCCAAATATTTATGTAACGAGATAAAAAAATATCCAAATATTTATGTAACGAGATAAAAAAGTATGCAAATATTTTTGTAACGAGATAAAAATAGGCATTTAAACTATTAATAAAATAGAATGAAACTTTATGATTTATGATTTGTTATGACCATGTTATGATCTATGTGATTATGTAATATATGGAACGCATTGCATTTAAAGGCATTAATGTTAGCGTATTAATGGGCAAAAATACTGTTGAAGTAAAATTTCGAACCAAATCAAAAGTTTAGCTGTAGTTTAACTGAATTGAAAGTGTTACACCATGCTCAAAAGTCTTTTACTTATCTACTTTTTTTCTCTTAAACAAAGTGCTTTGGAGTCAACACTCGTTTTTATGTTTTCCTAAATTATACAGTTTAAAGTTTTTTTTAAAATCTTTTGTAAATATCTCGTTCTTTAACTCTTTTTATTGTTTTCATTCCTAACCAAAGTATCCAAAGTAACTAAAGTAACCAAAGTATCTAAAGTAACTAAAGTAACCAAAGTATCTAAAGTAACTAAAGTAACCAAAGTATCAGCAGTTTTTTTACCGAACAAAAATTAAACTTTAGTTTTCAAAATATTTATTACATAAAGTAATTCCCGAGACATTTTTTGTGTTTAGGGTCGTCCATAAATTACGTCACGCCATTTTGAACATTTTTTACCATTTTTGACCCCTCCATCCTCCTCGTCACAACATATTTACTTTTTAGTAACAAGTCTTGTACGAGTCGTCACAACCGCTACCCCCCTCCTCCTTCCAAAGCGTGACGTAGTTTATGAACGATCCCTTATGAAAATTTTGCATGATTTAAACTCATACTTAAAAATTATCTGAAACTTGTTATGTGTTATCTAAACTTTTTTTATACATCATTTTTATATAAAGCAATATAAATAAAATTACATAAATTAGGTAGTATAAATAAAATTAAATAAATTAGATTGTATAAACTAAGTTCCGATGATTTAAGCAAATAAATAATAATTAAAAGCAAATCAATACCAAATACGTTAAACATGTTTTTAAAATTATTGTCATGTTAAAATGATTCATCTAAAAGAAAAAGCGTGTGTGCAAAAATATTTATAACATTTAATGTTAACTCAGTTCACATGTAATTAGAAACGACAAATTTTCTGTAAAATTTCATATGTTTTATGTTATATTCAGCATGTTGACAACAGAGTTTAAATATTTTCTTTTTGCACAACTAATGCTTAATTTGAGCTTTTATAAATGCAGTTCTTAAGTTATAGCAACTTAATGACACACACCATACTGAATGACACACACGATAGAACAATTGATAGAACAATTGAACACGAACACAAACAATATAGAACACGATAGAACAATTGAACACGATGTTGAATGACACACACGATAGAACAATTGATGATAGCTTGCTTGAGCAGAGTCTTTGGTAGCATATTTAGAAAAGAATGAGATACAATCTTAACAATGGGACAGAGTCTCATGATGGACTATGTTCAAGAACATTTACATTTTGCTTCTGAACCTTATTGGAAAACAAGAGTTAAACAGTTTAGTAAGTAATTTTAAATATGAAAGCAGGAGTTTTTTGCATGATTTTCAGTCATACCAAAGACTCGATGTTACTATAGTAACAATGTTACTTATAGCCAAGCCATGTAGTGTAATAAGTATTTAAGTAAATAATAACAACAATATTGGCTTTAATACTTATTACAACAAAATGCGATCAAATTTGAATAACTGGTGTCTTTAATTTGGATTCCTGCTTAGCTGTTCGCCAATACCCTACTCTTCCCTATATGGACCGGGAATTATTTTTGTTGACTACCTTTGTTTTTTTCCGGTTCAATGACCAAGTTTTTAGTTAAAATTATATATATTAAATTTATTTTATTGTTAAACTTATTCTATAAATTTATGATAAAAAATACAATATTTAAAATCATTATGAAAATAAATTATTTAAAAAAGTAAATTAAAATTGTTAGTTAATCAGTTTAATTTAGCATTAATAATATGTAATCTACAAGTTGAATATTTTTATTACTATAAACTTAAAATTATATTTTAGTCTTTGTTACCTCCAGGCTTCATAGGTAATCTAGGTTCCAGATAGGCAAGTATCCAATCCAGGGGGTGAAATCTAAAACTCGATCAAAAGTCATCTAAGATTTGAATAAAATCTGAATGCTTGTATTTTTTAAGTTTAAAACCCATTTTTAATAGTTTTTTTTTTACTTTTGATTTTCCATACTCTATTTACAATCATTTAAAACATTTCTATTCGACACAAGTATGAACATACAGAAATTTAATTTTGGGTCCATATTTTTGCCCAGAAATTTAAAACTCCAAAAAATCTCTCCCTCTATTATGATTTAATATTTGTTACGTTTAATAACATGAGTATATTTGTTACATTTATTAACATGAGTATAGGCATAAAAGAACACGTGTGCAAACTTTGTCAAAAGACGTTTACATTAAGAAGCAATTTAAAAGTGCACATGCGCAAACATTCTGGAGAAAAACCTTATCAATGTCAAGTATGCAACATGCGTTTTACTCAAAGTGGACACCTACAGTCTCATTACAACAGACACAAAGGTATTAACTTTGGTTTATATAAAGAGTTTCAGACCCAATTTAAAGTTTTGAACTAACTTTTATTTCATTTTAGCGTTCAAAAAACCATCTACTTCTCAAGTATTTGAAGAAATTATTCATGTTTTACCAAGAAACATTCAGGAAAATTTAGTGAGAAACATCCATGATGAAAAGCTTACGCAAACGCAATTTTAAATTCTTAGGCATACGCAATTTTAAATTCAACTGTTGTTATGTTTAATTATAAGTGGTATCCTTGCATAAAATTGTATATTTATAAATTTAAAATATATTTAAAGCATAAATTATTACAAATTTATTAACTTACTAAACTATAATTATTATTTTGTTGAACAACAGTTTATTAGATAAACAAAAGATTGAAAGTCTCTCCTTTCTTAAAGTCTCTTCTTTCTTAAAGTCTCTCCTTTCTTAAAGTCTCTCCTTTCTTAAAGTTTTTCCTTTCTTAAAATCTCTCCTTTCCTAAAGTCTCTCCTTCTTAAAGTCTCTCTTTTCTTAAAGTCTCTCCTTTCTTAAAGTCTCTCCTTTCTTAAAGTCTCTCCTTTCTTAAAGTCTCTCCTTTCTTAAAGTCTCTCCTTTCTTAAAGTCTCTCCTTTCTTAAAGTCTCTTCCTTTGGCCGTTTGATCATCTATTCTATACAATAAATGTATATAGTTAACCAGGAAGATAGTTATACTGAGTAATGTAATCTATTGCACCTGTTAACAAATTCAAGTATATTCAAGACTTTGAGCTTGTGTTCATAATATGTTAAAAATCTTGTGTTAAAAACAATACAGATTTCCGTTCTCTCTCAAAAGGTTTTTTAAATCTGTATCTCCACTCAAGTAACTTTACAAAATCTCTTTGACCTTTTTACTTGGTTGATTACAGTTTTCATCTCACTCTTCTCTTTAATTTTTTGGTGGACCATTAGTTTTTTCAAGTTTGCTGATATACTGTTAAAAAATTTTTGTCACTTAATGTTAAGTTTGTTATCTGTAGGAGTTTTGTCAAGTGAATGTCTCTTAGGATTGTCTTAAATTTTTTATTTTCCTTTTTTAGTTTTTATTGTTGTCATATTTTCATTTAGATAGGAAGTGTTGTTTAAAACTTAAACAACAAAATAACTTTAAAAAAATAGACTTGTTAAAAGAGTTATTTTATAAATATTAAAATACAAATACAATGAAACACAAAAAAGAAATTATTTCAAACAGCTAGTCACAAAATTAAAGCTTTACTCAGTTGTTGTTTAATAGTTAACTTCAATATGGCATTTATAACCACGTTTTTATTATATGTTTTAAACGAGAAAAGTTTATTATTTATAGGTGATTATCCAATCAAAATGTAATTCGTTTAAATAATGAGTTCGGTTCAAACAGCGTAACATTGCCGGTATCAAAAATAGTGATGACTTGCTAAAAATTCTTTTTTTTATAAAAACCGTTTTAATCATATTTATTTTTTTCAAGAAAACAAAGTTTACTAACTGGACAATTTAATGATGCGATATTTCTACCAGATACGTATTGTAAAGTTGCTGCAAGTACGCTTCCAATGATGGTAAAAAGTTTTTAATGCCTAACTTTTATAATCCTTAAACTAAATTTAAACCTTACATTGTCACCACGTTGCTCATTTTTATTAAATACCTTTTTTATATATATTATTTTTGTTTTAGTAGCCCCAAGAAGACCTAATGGACTTGTCACAGAAAAATCATTTAACTGCTAAAGATCACTGCGTAAGATCATTTAAGTAGGAAGTTCACGCATCCTTTTTTACTGATGACACAAAGTATGTTAAGAACTCGTTTCGAACCCAGAATCTTTTGTGCTCTAACCATTGCGACACGACCGCTTTAAAATTATGTCAGATGAAAAAACACTTCAAACAAGTATGAAGATATCTTCATACTTGTTTGAAGTGTTTTTTTTATAACTTTTGTAGAATTTACATTTTATTAATTATTCATTGCGGCACTTATTTAAATAATGTTCTGAAATAATATTTTTATACTTAACCCACTTTTTTCATGCTCTTATTTTTATAATGGCTTTTTATTAGTATTGTTTTTATAATTATTTTAATAAATTATATTATTAAGGGGTATAGTCCCCCAGAAATTTTTAAAAAATCGAAAAAAAAAAAAAAACTGATTTAAACAATTAAATATAGGGGGGTTTCAGAAATGTTAATCGTTTTACCTAAAAATATCTCTAAATACCAAAATTTTTTGTTTTTGAGAGTTAGGTACAAAAAAGAGAAAATTTTTTACCCCTTAAAAAATCACTTGTAAACCAAAACAGCGTATTGATTTCACAAGTTAAAAGCATTTTTGGCTTCTTGTTAGACTTGTTAGCACTTTATTTTTGGTATATGAAGACTAAGTTCGTTTTGTTGTTTTGAAGCTTATTTTTTGCCGCATTTTCTTGCCAGAAATTTTAAATTTTTTAGTTTTTAGACATAGTTAAGGCTGATCGAATTAAAGTTAGAACTAAGCGAGCAAGATTTTTTAATAGAAAAGTGATAAGTAGCAATGTGAGTGTAAATAATGTAAATTTTCCTTCTTTAAGTGTAAATATCGAATCACCTGTAAATAGTCAAACTGATATCTTCGATACGCCATGCTCTTCTCTTCGCAAATTTGAAGCAATCATTAGCTCAACTCCACAAAAATATACCAATACTAAAAACAAAGTTCTGACAGGATATAGAATTATTTATTGTTCAGTTTTCTGATGTTATTAGCGTTTTGATCTGTCCGACTTGTTTCTAAACGACTTTAGCAATCATTGAAAACAAAAGCAAAAAGCAAGGACTTGCATGTGAACTTTCTATTATTTGTTTAAAGTGTAAATATCAAAATAACTTTTACACTTCTAAGTTAGTTAACAAAAAAAGAAACTTTGATATAAACAATCGAACAGTATATACAATGAGGACTCTTGGATTAGGATATTCCGGAATTGAAAGGTTTACAATCCTCATGAACATGCCAAAACCAATGACGCTAAAAAACTATGACAAACTTGTTTTAAAAATTACTAATATTACAGAGGAAGTTGCACAGGAAACAATGACTGATGCTGTATCTGATTTAAGACTACAGTGTCAAAACAATAATGAGATTCTTGATGTTGGTGTATCATGTGATGGCACGTGGCAACGTAGGGGATTTTCATCATTAAATGGTGTATTTGCAGCACTTTCAATGGACAGTGGGAAAGTTTTAGATGTCGAGTATGCAGAGGGTGCTCCTTCTGCAATTAGACAGAATACTAGTAATTTAATTGCCATGAAATCAACAGCGCTTGCTACTCTTTTTCACGTTGCATCATCAAAATAATTGGCACTATCCACATTGTCCAAACAGGTGTAAGAAGTTGGTGTAAATTTAACAGAGACAAAGCAAATAACACTAACACCTACAAGCCAGGACCTGGTCTACCTTTAGAGGTTGTATACAAGATTAGACCTGTGTTTGAATAGCTCACAAAAGAAGATGAGCTTAAAAAATGTCTGCACGGTAAAACGCAAAATGCAAATGAGTCTTTCTATGGGAAAACTTGGGATCCCATGCCGAAAACGAAATATGTCTCGCTGACTTTGCTGAAGTTTGGTGTTTATGATGCTTTTGCCAATTTTAACATTGGGATGAAGTCTTCAATTCTTATATATGAAAAACTGAACATGGTTCCAGGTTTTTATACACTAAACGGTTCTATCGACATAAAAAAACCCGCATTAAATCGTCAATCTATAAACTAAACTCCCATAACAAGTTGCATCGTCAAAAGTTAAGGGCTAAAAAACTGAAGAAAAGTGACAAAACCTCTGAAAAAGAAAGTAAAACATATGAAGGAGGAGGTTCTTAATATTAAATACAGTCCAATGTTACGTATATTTGTAGATCTTTTATCGTTTATTTTCAGTTTTTATGGGTTTTCTCAGTTTAAGATTTTTCAATATGCCGGCCAAAATTCCGAGAGAACTGCTTGAGCATTTTATCTGAAATTTTCAACTAATTTTCCCTTTAATAAAAGCTGTGTTTTAAACGAACAGAAGTTTGAAATACTTATGAATAAAACAGTATAGCTAATTTAATTTTTCGAAAAATGCACTTTTTTCTATTGTCAACTTTAGATCACAAGTCTTCAGGCACAGAACTTTTTTAAAAAAATCTGTTTTGTTTAAAACACTCATAAACCTATTCTAATTGTGTTCCCAAAGTTTCGTTCAGTCTTTTTTATTAGTTTTTACTAAAACTTGGCCAGCGCAAATCATATTTTCTGCTTATTTTGGGGTTTTTTTACGGTTACTGCAGAAACCGTTGACCAATTTTTTTTTTTTAAAATTTTATATCAAATGTTGTTATTTATTGTCTATATTTAAAAATGGGGGAGTATACCCGTTAAATACATGATGGTTTGGAGATTATTCATTACAACTTTTGTTTCTGCAAGAATTCTTCGTCAGTCTTGCTGTTTTTACTTTTTTAAAGAATTTATTTGACAAAATGTTTACTAAGAATCCTACTACAGAGGCGCTGCAACATTAAAGCGCTATTCCTTTTAACGAGCGTTAAGGTTTTATCAGTTGTAAAACATGATACGTTGTCTAAAATTTTGCAGGGTGCACCCAAATTGTTGATGAGCTGTAAACCTTTAAAAAACAGCGAAAACAGTTAAGTATTTATAAATAATTTTAACACATTTTTGTGCAAACTTAAAAAAAATTTACTTATTTAAAATAAAAATAAGTTCTAATGTTAAAAAACTGGAGGTTTTTTAAATATTTGAATTTTTCTTCTTTTCCGGATTACTTTATATTACCAGTAATAAAGAGTGGTAAACTGATAGTTTTTTTTAGCATTATATCTTTTTTTTTTTATAATTATAAATAAAGATTTTAGGAGAATAATGTGATTTTGTTCTCTGTTCACACTTCACATCCGTATAAAATAAAGTATTTTACTACAGAGGTAGTCAGGATAATTTTTTACTTATAAATAAAATTTTTATGAAATAAGAAAACTCCGAAGCATTATAATTTCATCCCTTAACCTTTGACCTTCCTTTCCTAGTCACAACATCTTAACTTTTTAGTAACAAGTTCCGCATGAGTAGTCACAAAACCACAAATCCCCATCCTCCTTACGCTTAGTGACGCAAAATGCAGCGGAAGGGCGAGTTATAACTTTTTTAAATTTCAATTTCAACACCATTTAACTTTCATTTCTTGTATTTTTTGAAATTACATTCGCCACTCTCATTTTTACGTTATTTCATCAAAATTATGCTTTAAAATTTTTTAGTATAGTTGGGTTTTGACTATTTGTAATGAAGTATAAAACAAGCGTGTTTTTTGTAGCAAAAATGGTGATATTATCTAACGGAATTAACTAGTGATGCTAAGCTTTTTTTCGAACTGCCGGTAATAGACGGGATTCTGGGAGAAGTTTATTACATAACACTAGACAAATTACGTTTACACAAAGCATTTGCGTAAACCTTTGTGTAAATTTCACAAATAACGAAAAAACTGTAAAATAATCAAAAGATGTTTGTAGATTTTTTTTGTTGCTACAAAAACTTTGCTTTAAATACAATCCAAAAAAATCGTGCATAAATTAAACATGGGATTTAACTAAAAAACTAAAAATGAATTCATATAAAATTTATAAAATACAATTTCTAATATCTTCATATTAATTTTTAGCGTTCTAGAAGATTAAGCTTCATTTGGAAGTAAACATAAGAATAATATTCGCCATGGCTCATTAAACCGGGTATATCAACAGTCTAAAATTAAATATATTTCCTTTAGAAATAATCAGATTAAAAACGTGTTTTAAATAAACAAATCTTACTTCTCCTTTAACATTTGATTGTTGACCATCTAAATGAGCGTATTGTGCGTCAAGTACGTCTCGCAATCGACGATTTTTTCCTTTAACAGGCTGAAAACAAAGTAATTGAAAATTTCAGTAAAAATAGAAAATGCATATTAAAAAGATTTTTAGGAACGAAAAATGTTCAAAAATATTTGATCGAAAAAAACAAAATACCATGAAAATGTATACATTCATAAATTTGATCGAAAAAAAAAATTAAATAATTATAATGAAAAGATAAAAAGACTTTATATTATACACTTTTTGTTCAGGTTTCAAATTTAGAAGTTAAATTTATTTTTTGAGCTCTACCACGCAAAATAATTTTGTTTTATAATAGTTAAACATAAAACCAGATAAACCTTATAATAATTAAATATAAAAACAGATGAACTTTATAATAATTAAAACCAAAAAGGCTTGATGAGATGTGATATACATGTAAATGAGAATTGCAAAATGGTGATTTTGGTATTAATTTAGATTTTGGTATTAATTTTGATTTAATTTGGTATTAATTTAGACATAAAAATGTCATTAGCTAATTACTTATTTATTGGAAAGAGTCAAGTTTCAAAGATAAATCTTTTTCAATTTTTAACATGCCTAACTTCGCGTAATAATTTTCAAAAATGAAAAGTATTGTGGAAATTTATAAAAACATTTTTTTATAACTTTCCACAATACTTTATATTAATAGATTTCCTGTCAATAGTTTTGTCACTTGCATTTACTGAAGAGAAAACAATACTATCTATAGACTTGTCGTCAGTTATAAGAGGTTAATTTGTTTTTGCTGTATTTTAAATTGTAGCTGATTTGCTGAGTTACAGATATGATATCTGTATTTGAATTCACATGATTAATTTAGTAGTAGTATACTGAATAACTTTTTTGAAAGTGGCTGGATTTGTTAATAATAACTCAGAAAGATTACTGCAATACTTTTTTTTTACTCTTCATTTGTGTAATAGAAGTAACTTTGAATTTCAGCATTTTTGTAAACCAATAATATATATACTATGTATTTGAGTACAATATTTAGTAAAATGAATAAGTTATTTTGAAACATTTATACATAAATACTTTTTAATATAAGTTATTGTTGGTGATCTAAATCAAAATCTCAACACAATTAGAAATGCAATTGAAAAGTTTTACATTAAAAACATTTAAAAAAACATGTCGATAAAACAATCAGAGTAACTAAATTCAATTGAAAAAAAACAATAATTAAAAAACATCTAAAAACAATAATTACAAAACATCTAAAAACAATAATTACAAAACATCTAAAAACAATAATTACAAAACATCTAAAAACAATAATTACAAAACATCTAAAAACAATAATTACAAAACATCTAAAAACAATATTATTTAAATTAATAATATCTAAAAGTATGATTGATGTTTTCGCAAGCAAAAATTCTTTTAGTAATCATAGTGCAGTTCTTAATGGAATTTACTGAAGTAATCAATTAATGGAATTTACTGAAGTAATCAATTAATAGAATTTACTGAAGTAATCAATTACTCAAAAACAATCAAAAATAATCAAGTAAGAGAACAACAGCAATTATATCAAATGTAACCAACGCCACCAAGATACAATTTAATAAAATTTTATGATAAAGGTTTTAAATAGTAACAAAATAAGTGAAATGGAATCAAAGGTTTTAAATAGTAAAAAAATAAGTGAAACGGAAGAGAGTAAAATCTTTTTAGTTTAATTTTTAGGTTTATTTCTTGCACTAATTACAAAAAATGAGAAAATAAAACGATTATGAAATACTTTTAAATACTTTGTATTACAATATATAATACTAAAGTATATCATTAACTCGTTTGATTTAATGCATTTTGTGCAAATTTCAATGTTTTGATTTGACAACTACCTCTTTATTACTGAAATCACTGTTATAAAATTTAATAAATCAGTAGAAAAGTTTATTATTAAAAGTAATGTTGATCCTAAGTTTTAGGTAGTTTGATAGGAAGACAAAACTATTTAGGTTTAGCTGGAGCCATTTGGAATTATGAAAGATGAGGTCGGCAATAAATTGCTGACCTTAAACTGTTACAGGTCGACATCAGGTTAGCAAAAAAAATTTGACAAAAGAGTTTACCATAAACATAGAAACGAGGTCAGCGATTTTTTGCTGACCTCAAACACTTTAAGTTCGGCATTTGGATCAGCATTGCTGAATGGCGACTCTAACTTTGAGGGCTGTATATACATACACAGCATATATATATACAGTATATACTGTATGTAAATATACAGCATATATATATAAATTCAATATATATATATATATATATATATATATATATATATATATATATATATATATATATTTATATATATATATATATATATATATATATATATATATATATATATATATATATATATATATATATATTCAATATATATATTCAATATATATATATATATATATATATATATATATATATATATATATATATATATATATATATATATATATATATATATATATATCTAACAAAAATATACCTGGAGTAGCATAGCTTGGAAATTAACTGGAAGTCCAAATCGCAAAACTGATTCAACAAACACTCGCAAAGCCTAAACAAATTTTGAAACAAAATTATAAAACACAAAAACTGCTTTTTTTAAAAAAAAAAAGAATAAACAACATAAATTATGTTTTTAGCAAAAAAAAAAAAAAAAATCTCTTACATTTATTATATAAAAATGATCTTAAGAGAATGATCAAAAAAGTGATCTATATGAATATATATACATACATAATATATATATATATATATATATATATATATATATATATATATATATATATATATATATATATATATATATATATATATATATATATATATATATATATATATATATATATATATATATATGTATATATATATATATATATATATATATATATATATATATGTATATATATATATATATATATATATATATATATATTCAATAAAAAAAAAAAAAATAAAAAGTGAAAGTAAAGTAAAATAATTTTCACCTTCACATGTGACCAAGCAATAAATATTTCAGCAAAGTTCACTTTCAGCCATCTTACTAATGGACCCTGTATTTAAAAATGTTTATTTAATATAAATACTATTTGATATTTTCTTCAAATATACAAATTTATCAATCTGCTAATTGTCTAAACATCACATCAAGTCACAAAAATTTTTAGACATCATAAACAACTATATTCACACAAGTCTAAAAATAGAAAAAAAAATTTTTTGAACTGCAATTTTTCTTAAATTTAAAATCCAATTTATAAATTGCTAATGACTAGTTATAATGAACACAAAAAATCACAAAATATATTGCTGTAATTAAGTAAACTATGCGTTAAAATAGTAAAAAAAACTTCGTTTTAAAGAAAAGAAAGTTATTTTAATAAAAAATAAATACTAAATAATTGCACACACACAAAATTAAAATTAAAAAAGAAAACAAAAAAACATACAAAGTTTTTTTTTTTATCTTCAGCCATCTTTGTAATTTCTTCTTTACTAGCTGCTATCTCAGCATCATCCCAAACAAAATCACGAACTATAAATCTTAAAATAAATAACTATATGTACAATCTAAAAAAAAATCTATTAGGAAAGGTAATAGATTGCATATCTTTGTTACATTTCTGCAGGTGTAATTCTGCATACTAATATTGTAGGATTACACCAATAGAATATTATACCAATATCACCAAAAAACACCATTCAGTATTCAATTTACCAATCAAAAGAAAGAAAATTTGAAAAACAAATATTAGAAACTTAAAGAATCCCAAAACATTAAATACAATTACTAAAAACTAAAAAAAATAATTAAAAAGCAATTAATCTTTATCAAAAATTGACAACTATTTGAACTCCAATATTATGTTTCCAAATACCACTCTTTTTTCCAAGTCAAGTCAATATTATGTTTCTAGGTACCAAGTTAGGTCAATATTATGTTTCTAAGTTACCACTCTTAACAACAGCTACAACAAGACCATTAGTAGCATGTTAAAAGCTGCAATTAACTCTATACTAAATACATTGCTGACAGTAAAACTAGTTTTTTGTGAAATAATATGCTTATTTTTTGTCAAACCAAACCGGTTAAACTTGTTCCTCAGAAAATGCTATACAACATCATTATCTCATCAACTGTTTAAGACACTAATGATAGGTCTGAGCATCTGTTAATTTAAATATGGTTTTAAACATGAAGTTTATTCTAAACTGTTTTTTTGTTAATGAGAGAAAAACAGACTATTTTTTTCTCAAAATAATCACCTTTTTTTTGGGACTTAAGGACATTTTTAAGACTTTTTGGCTTTTCAGAACCTATGAAAAAAAAAAACTTTTTTGAGCAAAACATTTACTTCAAATTGCCAGTAAAGAATTTTTAGGCGTATTTGCTATGTGATTAACAGCTTTTGGCTGTTAATCACATAACAAATTTTTTGTCGATGTGTGAGTTTTTTTCTAAAAACTTTATAATGAAACTAAATTCTCTTAATTATTTACAAAAGTTCGTCAAAATATGACATGCTTATTGAGTTTGTAAAAATATTAAACTCCCTAACATACATACATACATACATACATACATACATACATGCATAGAATGGGCAAATTTATTCTAAGGAATGCACAAAATTTAATAAAAATTTAATTTAATAGAATTAATAAAAACATTTTACATCTGCAATGTTAAAATATCACAGCATGATCAGGCTTGGTCGGGAAGCGGGAGCGATCGCTCTCGAATATTGACCACGGAAATTATATTTAGTTGCGTAAAACTGGCCAGGTTTTTTAGTCGTTTTAAGAACATTTAAGTTTATGTACAAAACAAAGAATTTTTGTTTTACGGACATACATGGAAACATTATAAACTAGAATCTTCTCAAATTATCTTCGTGCGAAAGAATAAAAAGAATATTTGCGAACACTAAAAACCCGCCAAATTAACAAACAAACTAATTCTATTGGTTCAAAAAATACGCTGATTAAGCGAAATAAAGTTCTAGGGTATTCTGTTAAAATGTTTCAGAAATTGCATTATTCACGTTTTGAGATTTCTAGTATTATTTTAAGAAAATATATTATTTGTTTACGAAAATAAATGTTTTAAATATATATTAATTAAATAGTTAAAATTTTAAAAGTTTATTATAAATCATAGCTTTTATTAGTATATTCTTATTTCTTATTTTAAAAGAGATTGTATTCTTTATGTAAACGTAATTTTGTTATTTATCATAATGTATCTTTTAAAGCAATTTTAATGATTTAAACAAAGACTTGCAAAAATAATTGCGTTTTCAATGAAGTTATAATCGTTAAAGTTAATAAAACTAATTATGTAACAAACATATAAGAAGTTTCTGGTTACTTAACACAAACATCGCATACAAAGTAACTCGCGGATGAGCAAGCATCGCGCCTGAAGTCACGACAGAACACAAATATATAATAGCAAATAATTAGATATAAAGAAAAGTTTCTAGATATTGGTTTACTAACTCTAATTATTTTCGCCTAAGTTGCCATTCTTAAAACTCGTTATACTTTTTTCTGCTTAAAATACTAATTAAAATTAAAAACCCACTCACTAAACATCATTAGCGATATTGTAAAGCAGTTTCGCTTCCTGGTCATTACGTATTTTTAACCTTTTTAGTTGATTTCTATCTTGATAATTTAATTCCTATAGTAATTCAATGATTTAATTATTTCATTTGTTTATCTTACTAAGAAGAATCGCTTCAAATATGTTAAACTTTTCAAACTACGCGAAACATAAAATAGGTATTAAAAAAATTAACTTTTTTATTTATAAAATATATTAAGCTTAAGTAAAACTAAAACTTGCAAAAAGTTAAATAAAGAATATTTGTTTCCCTTTTAAACGATCGTAAGTTGTTAATTTATATAAAAAACATCGCTTAATTTTATAATAAAAAAGCGATGTTTCGTAAATATTTGTTCTAAATGTAATTTATTTAGCTTAAAGTTTTTTCGCGTTTAAAGATATTTTATTTGCCTACTTTTTTTTTTTTTTTTTGTAATTGTCTCTCATCGGTCCAATTAATCTTCGTCGCTTTTTTTTTTTGCTTTTTAAAATGTTCTCAAAACGACTAAAAAATCTGGCCAGCTTTTTGCAACTAAATATTATTTACGTGGTCAGCAATCGAGAGCGATCGCCCCCGCTTCCCAACCAAGCCTGCATGATAATGGTATATTGGTTTAACAGAGTTAAACCAATATACCATTATCATGCTGTGATATTAAATTATATTGATTAATAAAACACATTTAAAGATCCCTGTTAAAAACATGTAAATTCCACAGCATATTCGACAGGACTTTTTAAATATCTGGTAAATTAAAATTTTTTTTTACAAGTTTTGGAAAATCATCAAAACTCATGTTATTTTAATCATGAAATTTAAAAACTACCAAAAAATCAATAATGGAAAATTATTGATAGGACCACTTAAAAATCTTTGTTTAACTAGAGAACTATTTTACCTAAAAACTACTAAATACAAAAACCAAGGTTATATCAAAATGCTGCTATGAAAACAAATTGGTCACTTGCAACTTTATTGTTATCCACAGCAAAATAATATTTCTTATTACTTCTTATTAATGCTATAATTATAATTGTAGCTGGAGTTTTTTTGATGATGATGCGTAAAACACAACAATGACCTGACCTGCATATATGTGGTCAGGAAGGGCATGAGATTGCATGCTTTAATTGACGACACATATAATATTTTGCTGCGACAACTTGACCACAACATTTTAGATGTTTTGAGAACATTATAAAAATGCACAATTAAAGCTTAATTTGATGAACAAGAGACAATTACAAAAAAAAACGTGCTTTATCTATAAATAAGTCAAGTTCTCTTTAAACTTAAATATGCCAAACCCAAGATATTAAACATAAAAAAACATCCCCATCATCTAACTGTTTAAACATACCTTTAATAAACATTTGCAGTCTGCGCAGCAACCTTCCATTAGATGAATCTTACCTCTTGCAAAATTCCCCAGACTTGCTTGCTCTTAGTGAGACTAATTTAAAATCTGCTATTCCTTTAGATCTCAGTGTTGGTAAGTACTATTCCTTTATTCAAAAAGACTTCAATAGCCACATGTTTGGCTTGTATACCCCATATATAGGCAGCAACTCATCTATTTGTTGTGAAATCAGGTTCGAATCTTTTGACCATTCTTTTATGTGCTTCTGCTTAGTACCTCTTCACTCTATAACCTTTCTCTTTGTTCTTTATCATTCTACTTCTTCCCAAGGCTGCACACTTTTAGATGTAATTTCTGATCAAATTGACCATGCCCTCTCTTTTTACTACAATTTTGTAGTTATTGATGACTTTAATGCTTATCACACTGAATGGCTTGGCATTCAAAGATGGTCCTTGAGTTGAAGTCTTTTCTCTCTTGGCTGATAAATATGCCTCCTGGATTCAGGCAGGAATGAATGCTTTTATTCCTTCTTTTCAGTTCCAAGTAAGTCTTATTCTATTCGATTGTTTTTTTGGAAAATTTTTGTTTTCCTGCCTGCTGGAAAATGGCATCTGTTGTTCCAATTTTCAAAAACTTTGGTGAACATTCTGACCCCTCCAGTTATCATCCGGTCAGTCTTCTTTCTGTTGTTAACAAGGTCTTTGAGTCTTTGAAAAATAAATTTCTCACATCTCATCTTGAGTCAAATAACTTACAGTCAGACAATCAATACGGTTTTCGATCCTCTCGTTCTACGGCTGACTTGCTAACCGCTGTGACTGAAAGATTTTATCATGCATTAGATGGAGGTGGAGAGGCTATTGCTCTCGAAATATCTTAAACTTTCGACAAAGTTTAGCATGCTGGTCTTCTCCATAAGCTTGTTTCATATAGTGTATCTGGGAAACTTTTTGAGATTATCAAATCATTTTATATGCTTTATTAAAGTCATTCTCAAAGGCTGACACTCTTCATTTCGAGTAACTTCTGGGGTACCTCAAGGTTCTATCCTTGGGCCTATTTTGTTTCTTATCAACATTAATAATCTTCCAGACAACCTTACATCTAAAGTAGCTCTTTTTGCTGATGACTCAACTTTATACTCCAGTCTTCTCCTGACAAAAAATTTTCTCTTTTTGATTGCTTAGAACAGGCAACTGATCTTGAATCTGATCTTACTTCTGTAACCGATTGGGGATTGCAGTGGCATTTACTGCAAACAACTATCGCAATACTGTCCACATTTCTATATTAATGAATGGCAACCTTCTAACTGAGAGGGAGACTGTCCAGACTTAGTTTTATATGATTGTACCATCATATAAAATTCAAAAATATGGTAAGAATTCTATTGTGTATCGCTGCATCTGTGAATGGAACAAGATCCTTGTGTGCATTGTGAATGAGTTCAATAAACTCCAACTCCAAACTCCTTTGTCATCTTTTCTTAACCTTAATCAAAATCAATTTAAAAAAATTCTGAAAAATATTTTGTTATAATTTTTTTCTATTACTATAAGATTTATCCTTATTTTTTTGTTTGTTTTTCTTTTCTCTTTTATTATAACCTACATATATGATTTTTAAAAAGTTTACTTTATGTGTCTATGTTTTGTGTCTATATGTTTATTATGTCATATTATTTTGAAAAATGGCGTCACTTCATTGATCAGACTTCTGTATGAGTGACACCATCCATACTAATCATTAATTTATTATAATAAGAAATAACATATCATTTTACTTATTATTATTATAGTAATTATTATTATTTATAATTTTTTTTGTTATTATTATTATTATTATTATTATTATTATAAATTATTACTATTGCTTATTATTTTATAATTATTATTGTTATTATTATTTACCTTACTATTGTAAAAATGATTTTAAAATGGAAAATAAATAGCTAATTATTGTCTTTGAGCCTTTTTCTTTACTTCTTCTTGGATTATTATTTACTACTGATTACATGGAAACCATATATACAATTGATTGCTAATTTAGCATTAGCTAAGGTTGCTTCTCTTTATTTTGCTCGCCATTTTCATTTTTTTCATTTTAATTCGGGCTGTAGAGAAAACTTTACTTCTCAACAATATTTTTACCCGCTTCGTAAATCTTTTTTATATCACGACTTGTATCATTGTTATATCAGTCAAAATAAATTTTAACAACTTTTTTGGATTAAATTTATCTGGTTTTATTACAGTATTTAGTTAGTCTTATTCCAATTTTTATTAATATATTATTTACCTGCTGATTTTCATATTATAACTGCTAACAAGGAATATTTATATTTTCTTATCTTGCATTCATTACTCAGCTATGTTTTAACTTTCACATGCACAATTTTTATCTTTTATTATTATTCAGAGAATTTTTTTTATCCTTTAGTACATGTTTACATTTATGTGGGTGACATTTTTAATGGTTTTTGTGTAATGTTTCTTTTTCTTTTTCTTTTTGCCATCATAGATTATTCAATTATTGTTATGATTTTGGGTTTTGTGGCCACTCATTTTCCTACACTTTTGATTGGTTATCATATTTCGAATGAAGTATCTATGACAGCATAGCTCATTCATTTCAACTGGATCAAAGGAGCTTAATGCAGAGTAATGTTTTAACTCTTTTATTTTAATAGTCAACATGGCAAACATTAAAAGATTGTTTGGTGCGCTAACATATTAACTCCTGAATTTTAATGGACTAACATTGGACAACAGCCTGTTAATGTTTTAATTTAATAGAAGAGCCATTGATGCAATGGCTTATATTTTGCATATATTCCACAAATGGCTTATATATTGTATATTGCACTAGTTGATGTAAAATTATAATTTACATATTATAACCATTCTTTAAAACATAAATTCAAAAAAACATAAATTGTAAAAAAAAAAATGCTTTATAAACTTTTTTACTAATAAAACTTACTTTCTCTCTCTTGCATGATGTTTGAACTCATCTATAACTTTTTTAAATAAGGTTACTGTATACAAGCTATAGTCACTGTCGCTGGTCAACAACCTAAAATTGAAGTCAAAAATCATTTTTAGGATACAACATAATAAAATTTTTACTTGTTGTGCACAACAGAATATATATAAAAACTGGAGCAGCTAAGAAAAACTTTTTTTTGCAATGAATACAAAGTTAAACAAGGTTATTACAACTGTAAAGTTTTGATTTCTTTTCATTTTTAGCCAAAATGATCAACTGTAGTAATCAACAGAATGATCAAAATAAATTTTTTAGATTAAATAGTTTTAACAAGCAAGTAGTACCCAGTTTAAAGCCTACCATGTCCTAACTACCACATCCCTGATATTAAGGTGTTCAACTTGTTACGTTGCAATTTTGTGTTTTACAGTTATAGGAAAGGGAAGTAATTTAAAAAACAAAACGAAAAAAAGAGTAGCTACCTTGACTGTAGTGGAAATTTTAGCCTTATTTGAATACAGTAAAAAAAATTTGACTATATACAGCCAAAATCATAAACTGTTGAGCATTTTATATACTGATTATATACTGATACTTATTTATATACTGATTACTAAAATTTATAATGAGCATTTTATATACTGATTATATACTGATACTTATTTATATACTGATTACTAAAATTTATAAAATATTTATGTATATTTATAAAAATAATAATAATAATAAATATACACTCTATAAGATATATATTCATTATTTTTTTTTTATTTAGTAATTATCTTTGTTTATTTAGTTGTTATGCTTATTACTACAAGCTCATATTAAGTAATTGCAAATTGTGATCCCAGAAAATTCTTCTGGTCTTTAAACTTCTAGATTTTTTAAAAACAGTAAACTCTGTTTTTAACACAAAACTTAATGGCTTTTATTCAACAAAAAATATTTATCTTGAAATTAAAATCTCATTTAAAAATTTTTTTATAATGAGATCATAATTTCCAGATCAATATAAATAACTATCATTTTAATTGAAATTTCAGGATTAATATAAATATTTTTGATACAAATTTTGATACAGGATTAATACAAATATAATTGATAAATATTTAATATAAATATTTATCAATTATATTATCTTGAAATTATAAAAATCTCATTATAAAACCATATACCTATTATTACTATTATTAAAAATTACAATTTAAACTTTAATATTTTAATTCATTTGATAAACCAGCAAAGAAAACTAGAAAAATAAAGCATTAAAGGTCCGAAATGCTTATGTTTGTTAATGTTTTTTCGCAACATTATTTTTGTTTTCTAATACTTAAACTAACTGGTGTTTAAACTTAGGTAAGTTTAAACTGTTTTTGCATTTATAAGTTTTTTGTTTTGTTTTTTTATTAATTTTTGCAATATGATAAATTTAACCTTTCATTAAAACAGTGTTCATAGTTTTTAATTAACTAAAAATTTGAAAACCAGAAATAATTCCAGATTTTAAAATTCACGATCATTTAATTCAAACCTAGTACTATAATTAATTTGTAACTTTTTCTTTTGCTTTCAAGAATGTTTTGTATTCAAGAAAAGTTACAAAGATCAACCAATAAAAATCAACAACAGGAAAGCAACAATAATCAACATCAGGGAAATAACATTAAACAAAGTTTTTAAAAATGCAGTTTTGAAAATTTTAAACAAATTTTAAAGTTTAAATGTGTTGAAAAAAATGTATTGGCAGTATCTGGTTAATTTTTTTAATTATAGCCATGTTTAAATAAATTCAGTAATGTATCAAGAAGATGAATTTACATTCAGTAATGGATTACAATCATTATGATATATTACATTAATAACCTAATAAAGATGTAAAGATGTAATACAAGATGATACATTATTATTATAATGATGCAATTGTTATAATGATGCAATAATGTTAAAATGAAAAAGTAGTAGGTAGTAAAAAAGTAGAAAGACCTACCATGACCTGTTTTCCCTTACTGCTAGTTACCATGTACTTTTTATAAGTCATTACTGCTAGTTACCATGACCTGTTTTACAAGTCCTTAATGCTAGTTACCATGACCTGTTTTACAAGTCTTTACTGCTAGTTACCTTGACCTGTTTTACAAGCCTTTAATGCTAATTAGGCATTATTTGTTTAATTTAATTAAAAATAAGTAAAATAATTAAAAATCAGCTGTTTAAAAAAACTAAAAATTAAAAAAAAACTTCACTTTTTTATAATAAAACACTTTTGAAAACAAAAAAAAATAAATAACACATAAGATTATTTAAAATTTGTGTAAATAAAAAACAATTTTTAGATTTTGTAATGTTATTTTTATTTCTCAAATATATTACAGTATATATTACTAATATATTACTCTCAATATTTCGATATACAATCAAAATTTTATCTTAGTAACAGATCTTTTTTTCTAACTGAACACAATCGACACATCTGGAAAGTCTCACGCTTGTGAATATCTTGAAGAACTAGTAGTTTCATCAATTAAAAAATAGAACTTTGGGTGTCACGTAGAAAGCATTGTTACTGACAATTCAACTAATATATTAAAAACATTGAATCACGATCAGATGTTGATGTAATTGCATACAGTTGCTCTGCACATTTATTAATTTATTAATTAATTTTTTAAAATCAATTTTTTAAATTAAATTAAAATTAATTAATTTATTAGCAAATGACCTAGAAACTGACAATGTTAAAGATCAAATAGTAAATATTGTTCAATATTTCGGGAACCGCCAAATTGCTTTGGCAGAATATAGAAAAGCTAGTGAACAAAATCTTGTATTGCCTCAAGATACTAGTTGGAATACCATGTGTGACTGTTTAAAAGTGTATATTTTAAATTGATCAACTTAGCTAAAAAATTTGTGAGTTTAACCAGGCATTGACACTACAGTACAACAGAATGTCTCTAATTTAATCACTGAAGAATTAATAAAGCACAAAGTAATAAATGCAAAATAAAGATGTAGTGGAAGTATAGAAGAACAAACTTTTGTAAAAAGTTTGTTCTTCCATACAAACTTTTGTAAAAGGTGAGAAAGATGTCCAAATAAAAATTCAAAAAAAGATCTTCACTCTTCTCTCATCAAAGGGATCCCAAACTCCCAACACATGTTGTGTTCATATTAAAGATAATGTTAAAAAAAATCATCTCTCATTAAAGGGATCCCAAACTCCCAACACATATTAAAGATAATGTTAAAAAAAAAGGTTTGAACCAAGTTTTTTTTGATTAAAAATAAATAATGAATGCATATCATAAAATTTTGTAAGCAGTAAAAATAATAAAGTATTTTTATTTTATAGGAGCAACTTATTTTTTACAGATATCTTAATAACTTTTAGATTGATATATCTTACTTATATTTCTTTTGTTTTTAAATGAAAACAATTATTAAAGCTTTACTTAACAATCTTATGATTTTCATACGAGTATTTTACATTATATAGAATGTTATATATATGGTCTCTTGTTTTTGTGCAAGAGAGTGCAGTATTATATATTCTGAATCTTACCTATTTTCATTTAAACAATGGGAACTATGGGAACAATGGGAACTTATATGCGGTAGTGGTGTAGTGGTAAGAGCGCTCGCTATGTAAGCGAGAGGTTCGGAGTTCGACTCCCACCACATCCCTGGAAGTACCGCGCTCAACTTAATTTCTCCATGCAGCGGTCTTGCTTGTCAAGGTTCGTGTTTCGGAGTTAAAGAGTTGAGAGAGAAAACTATTTCTAACTTTCATTTTTACGCTATGACATTTTTTGTTTTCCTGACAGTATTAATTAGAAATATTTGATGAACTGTTAAATTTTTTTATTATAAAAATTTTTTGACTACGCTGATTTAATTTAAATTGCTAAATTTGCTAAATTGGATATGGATAAAAAGGAAATATCATTAAAGTTTGCATTTGATTTTTGATAACAAAACTTTCAGAATGTTGGCAACTCCATATCAATTAGAACCTGTTAAGCTTATAAAAAAAAAGTACAAGAATACACTAAACAATACAGTTGACAGTAGTATCAGATATGAAAAAGTCGTGAAAGGATATGTGAGATCCTGGTTTTGCATTACAAGCACAATCAATAACAGCTCAAGTCGGCATTATAAATTTTTGATTGTAAGTTTACTGTTCAATATTTTATAACCATCAAATTAAAAACAAGAAGTACATATATTTTGCCCGTTTAATACAATTAACATTTACAAAAATACAGACAAATTATTATTAATTATCGCAATAACTAACACATTAATTAATGGCAATAATTCAAGATAGATGGTAATTTAAATTTTCAAAATGTTGTAATCCACATAGAAAAACATATATTTGGCATTTCCTAAATTATGTGTCATATTTAGCATTTGTCTCTTAACATGGAAAATTAAAAAACTAACAAAATTCACAAATACAAGTTTTCAAGCAATTTTCTCTTCCAATTCCAATTTATTCAAAGAAAAGTTACTATTTTATTTGTAAAAAAAAAAAACGACTGACGCAAAAAAAAATATTCTATACAACCCTTCATTTCGTTCAAAGTTTAATTACATGAAACTTTTCTTTCTCTTTTGTTCTACAACATAAATAAAAACAAAAATCAAATAAAAAACACAATATTGCATAATTTTAGGGGCTTTTTATTTATTGCTTAGTAGTTTTAAATAATAAGTAAATTTAGTTCAAGCTAATATTTCAATATTTACAGTTGCAATATAATAAAAAAAAGATGTTTAATGTTGAAGTTTTTATTTAGTAATTTATTTTTTGCTTACATTTGTTATAAAAAGATTTTAGTACCCCCATCATTAAAATCATTTGTTTCGACAAGATTATTCAAACTAAGTTTTTTTGTTTGACTTCCCGAACTTCTTGCAAAGCAAATTCAGACAAAATAACCAATTAAAAATGCTGTCTAATCAATTAAAAATGCTGTTACTAATTTTATACGGTAATTAATAAAGCAATTTTTTATATTCATATTAAATATTCACCATTTATTAACATTAAATATAGTGTAATAACAATTTATAGCAACGAACTAGCATAAAATATTTAAGGTTTTTAATATCTTTTTAAATGTTAAAAGTTCAATAAAATAAATAATTAAACAAATATTGAAAAAATTTTTTTTGAGTTTTATTTGTCTTAAGTCGACCATGATGTCAAATACTAAAACTTTTATGAGTTAAACGCGCATCAAAGGAATCGCTGAAGTCTGTAGATAAGTAAAATGGAAAAGGCAAGCTTTGGCTAAAACAACAAGATTAGTTTTTCTTGGTATGCATTCATTATTTATTTTTAATCAAAAAAAATTGGTTCAAACCTTTTTTTTAACATTATCTTAAATATGAACACAACATGTGTTGGGAGTTCAGAATCCCATTAACAAGGATTAATGTTGAATGAAGTTGAAAAAAAATACTGTGTTGAAATATTCCAACCTTCAATATCCACATATCTTTCCAACAGTTATGTACACCTATTCTTAAAATTTAAATTTAGCTTTGAGGTTTTAACAGCATTATTGTCTGTTCAGTGGAGATCACATTGTGATAACAATGTATGTAAAACATTAAATACTACTTTGCAATTGATGACTGTGATGCTCTCCTCTTACAGCTTGGTACCTTATTACTTAGAATGTACCAACCCATAAGAGTTTTACATTTATTCTTATATTACTTTGAGTCATTAATTCTATAAATACATAGTACTGCTATATTTGTTTTATTTTATTTTAAAATAATACAAAAAAAAGTTTTTAAATAATTTTTTATTATTAAAATCAAACGGAAAAGAAAAATTTAATTTAAATCATTAGTTATCCTGAAAAATCAGTGATTTAAATATTCTGATTACATACAAAAATCTTGAATAAAAAAAGGACTTCTATCTCTAAAGTTAAAGAATAAAAATGCACATTTTGTATCTCATTAAAATCATTTGAAAAACTGATGATATTATTCATAATAATGTAATTAACTTTCATGACACTTTAAACTGAAACTTTGTGACACTTTAAACTGAAACTTTCGTGATTCAAACTGAAGACAATTGTTTTATGAAACTCATGTTACATAAAACAAGATTTTTTTTTCAAAAAGAAGTGCAATTAGTAATTTTAAATTTATCTAAAATTCATTCATTTATTGCAATTTGCGGCAAATAAAACTTATGGTAAAATAAATAAAAAAATATAAAATATGCTACTTTAACTAATAGTAAAGATATAAAAGATATAAAATAAGCTACTTTAACTGTTAACAATAAACTGTTTCAAACTTTTTTTTCAAAACTTAATTGATTTTTGTAAACTTGTATTTGAAAACTGATTTTTTTTCAAACAGTCAACAATGACCAGCAAAAATTCATGTTGGGAGGTGTAAGTAGCAATTTTAGTCATTAGGTGCGGTCATTGAGTGTTGACAGGCCATTATTTCACGCTGATATATATATATATATATATATATATATATATATATATATATATATATATATATATATATATATATATATCATCAGTACATATATAAATACAAAATAATTTTAAAGATTAATAATTAAAAGTTACATTGAAGACTTGGGTACAATCATATCTGTTATTTTTTCATACACTGTCTCCCATTCTGCTGTAGAACTCCTAGAATTTTAAAAACAATTGCTTTTTTATTTGATAATAAAAAAAAATAATATTTTATATTTTAGTTTTATAAATAATAACCTATATATTATTAAATATTTTAAATATCTCTCTGTAAAGCTAATCGTTGTATTTATTAAAAATAAAAAATTGTAAGGGTAATCACCACTCTACAATTTTATTTACAGTCTTTACAAATCTTTTTTTACTCAATGTTTGATTTTAAAATGTTTTAAACAATTGTTATTTATTTATAATATTTTAAAGTGTTAAAAAGTATAAACAAACTACATATAACATAACAGATAAAATTAACATTGACCCAAGGATTCCTGGGCAAGGAATGCATAAATATAGTAGGGCTTCCCTTTAATAGAAAAAAATTAACTTTGGGTCTACCCAGAGTGTAAAAAGCTATTGCATAAAAATACCATAGTTTTGTAATATTTTTGTTTTTTGTTTGTTTAAACAAATGTCTTTAACAAAATTATAACTTCTTTATCCGAACCAAAGGCTGACTCAGTAACTAATTTGGCTGCTTTCTACATTTTTTCAGGCAAGTGTCCCCTTGAATTTTGTTTAAAATAGGTTTTTTTTTAATTATTATTCAAGCGCCCCAAGAAGACGATCTTGTCACAGAGCAGCGCATAAGTGCATTTAACCAGGAAATTCATGCTTTCTTCCTTACCGTGATATTTAAGTGCTATAAAGATATGATCTCATATAAAAGAGCATTAAAAAAAAAATGTTCGATGTATATTATTTTTTCTAGAACATAATAATGAACACACACTAACAAATTTAATTTTCAAAAAAACGCTTTTCTTTGATTAAAAAAAATGCATCTTGTCTAAAGTTTGTTGACTCTATTGCCTCAAAAATCTAAGGTTTGTACGTCAAATTAAACAAAGTAGACAAAATGTCATTATTGCAAACGTATTAGTTGTAATTAAATTTAAAAGTAAAATCGTTTTTTTTTTAACTAACATAATTACTTATAAGAATAAGTTTTGTAGCATTTTGTGAAAATATATTTGTATATTAAAATTTTTTTATAATTTTTATTTATATATTTGTGTTGTAAAGGCAATTCCACGGTCAAAAATGAATAGAAGTCAAATTTTAAACTCTTTTTAGTCAGTTTTTAACAAATAAATATTGATGTAGACACATGAAAGTTTATTTAAAATATTTCCTTAGTACAAAAATAAATTTATTTCACTCATTTTTATGGTTTCGAAAGTGATGGTTATTCTCATTTTTGCTTGATAAAAAAAATAATTATTGTAAAATGTTTTAGTTAAATTAACATTTATGTTAATTTAGCTATATTTTTTTGGTTCAAATTGATAAGGTTAAATAGACATTTTATTAGAAATTAAATTAAGACAGGGCTCAGATTAACCCAAAAAAATCTAATTGTGAAAAAATATATTTTTTTGTTCCCCTCCTCTCTTTTATAGCTCGCGCTGATGTGCGGAAATGCTTGCGCTAGTATAAAATTGTCTCTTTAGCACGTAATTAACATACTATCTCTCATATTTAAATGTTATCTTATGATTTTCTTGTTTGGCGGAGTTTAAAATAGCGTAAGTTACTGTTATAATTTACAGCTTAATTTATAATTTAAAGTTTAAGTTGCAATTACAGTGTTATGAGCAAGTAACATATGGAATACTTTTAATTAAGTAATTGTTTTTGCTTAACATGATACTTAAAAAAAAAAAAAGTAAAAAAATAAGAGTAAAAAGCAAACATTAATATATTTCAGTATCAGATCCAGGGGGAGGATGGGGGTATCCATCCCCCCAGCCCCACCAGAATCTGAAAGTCTTGAAAATACCATAGAAATTGAGGGCCTTGTTTTTTGCTATTTTTTTAGGAGATGCAAACATGGTACAAAGTTCAAAAATATTTCAACATCCTTCACCAAAAATTCCTGGATCCGTCACTGCAATATTTAAACCACTTTAATTAGTCTTAGAAAACTGTTTAATACGATCACGCTGACAATAAAATATGTGTTTTTAATGAGTATTTAATTGTTATTGTAAAAAGCTGTAAAACAACAATAAAAGAAAAAGTTGTCTTTAAAATATAAAAAGCTTGTGTTAATGTAAAACAACTTCGTGATGCTGTTTTGTTGCTGTTTTATACAGTTTAATAACATAAAATATGTTTAAATTAAAACGAAGCATATAAATGAAATTGTTTTAATTTAAAAAAAAATCAGATTTTTAAAAACGATGTTTTTTATAATTTATTGTTTCTTGAATAAAGGACTAATAAAAGTTTAAATATAATTAAGTTTTTCATTTAAATGGTTTTCAAGTTGATGTTTTTATTCAATTTCACTATTTCAATTGTTTTCCAATAAAAAGTGAAACAAAAAAATTTGGTTTAATAAATCGAATTATACTTCATGTTTAAAATAAGGCTTAAAAACGATAAAGTAAAAAAATTGCTGGCTTTTATTAGCATTTTTACACTGTTTGAAAAATAAACTAATAAAAAAGAATTAACTAATAATATATTAATTAAAAATTATTAGAATTAATAATAATAATAATTAATTCTTTTTTATTAGTTTTTTTTTCAAACAGTATAAAAATGCAAATAAAAGTCAGTAATTTTTTTGCTCTAACGTTTTTAAGCCATATTTTAAACATTTTGAAAAACAAAGATAAAAACCAGGTTGTTTTGTTAGAATGAAGAAAAAACTCGAATAAACGTCTTTTCCTTTTTCAACTTTTCGCTTTAACGACCTTTTAAAAATTTTTCATGCAGAGATTTAAAGTAATTTAAATTCAAAAATGTTTTACATTAAAAGAAAAACTCAGCGCGAAAGAGCAAATCACCTATTCATCTAAAAAAAAAAAAAAAAAAACGCGAAAAGATTTTAAGAAAAAACTAATCGGGGAAGTGTGAAAAGCAATCGCGATCACGATATGCTTAATACGAGCCCTGTAAGACTTTTTTATAAGTTCTAAACTATTGATTAAAACTATTGCTTAATAACTTTTTTTTAACAACGTCTTTCAACCGAATTCTATTATACTGTTTTTGCAAAATTAATTATAAAAACTTGATTAAAACTTTTAATCACAACTTTTTTTTTACTTGAAAATCGAAGTAGATATTCTAAAGTTGTTGTGACGTACTAACGTGGTTTTTAACGACTAACAATCGAGTTTCAATGGTAAAAAAATAAAATCAATATGGAGATGTTTTTCAGTAATTTCGGCAATTGCTTTTTGTTAGCATGCATTTATTATTACAATTTAGTGAAATAGAAAAAAAACTTACATATTTTTTTTATGCTCTTTCATATGAGATCATATGTTAGGAGCACTTAGGGATCCCTTTAAAATTGATGACCATGTGAAGTTTAGAATTCATCTTATCTATCTCATGATATAACTTTAAATGGTCCTAATTTTTAAAAAAGAAATTTTTATCTAGTCAAATATAACAAAAAAATTTGAAAATTTTTTTTAGAAGTAAATGTTAACAAAGAGGTAAGTAATCTATTATCTTCAACTTTTTTAGATAACTAAATCACAATCTGTATTATTTATTTCAATTTTTATGCATGTATAACTGGTAAAAAAAAATATACTCCTATAGTGTAAATATCACACTATAGTATATATAGTATATAATATCCATTGTAAATATCACACCAAATATCAATGATGATATTTGGTGTAGGTGGAGATTCCTTAAAGCTACACTGTCAGTGTTAAAAAAAAAAGAAAAACTAATTTTTATTTCAATTTTATTTAAAAGTATTACTAACTGATAAAATTTTACTTTTAAAAAAAATAAGCTTATTTTTGAAGCTATTCTTTTTTTATTTTACTAAAAATTAAATTTAAATGTAAACCTGTTATAAATGCAACATGTAAAAAAAAGTTTAAAGTAGGTTAAGTAACTTTTTTTTAGGGTACATTAAAAAAATGTACACCTATGTTAAAAAATAGTTTATTGTACATTAAACATTTTTTTATAAGACAAGTGAAAATACAATGATATATTTTTAATAAATGGTATTTAAAAACTTAAAATAATCACTGGTAAAGTAATTAAAGCTTTTATTTTTCCAATAAGTTACACTTTTTATTTATAAATAACTTTTTAAAAATAAAAAATCATTATTGGTTGCAAAGCACAATTACAAATTTAAGAAATAATTTTTAAAAGTTAAACAAATTTTAATTTATACAAATGTTGTCAGGGTCTACATTGTGCAGGCACAGAGTTTTATGGAAAAGAGCTGGATTAGAAGACATAGCTTGGATGAACTGGAACTGGATTCCGCCAGGAAGTTCTGTGAGGTCAAAAGCGTACATCATAACATGTTCTGTGAGGAGCTAAAACTTAATGGTAGGCTGAGCAGACGGGTGTGGCGTATAAGGATGTGTCTCTCTGGGAATGGCAGGCGTTAGCCCAATATTTGTTGTAAAAGATGATGGTGTGATTACTTTCATTGATATGACATGTCCGTATAAGAAATCAGAAAGACACCTAGGTCAATGCAAAGATGTAAAAATTGAAAAGTACGAGCCAATCAGGTTTGTTAGGAGTTGGATTCAAGAATTTGAGATTTTTTTATTTAAAACAAGGCCTATAACGCCAAAGTTAGTAAACAATAAAATCCCAGAAAAATTAAGCAAGTGTGACAGATATGTTTGCATAAATTTCAAAGATTCAAGTATTCACAAATTATTATAATAACCATTTTGCCTTCAGTGAACAATAATCATTATATACTAAGAATAATTTTGTATAATTTGAATATTCCTTACCTTAGATTATAAAGTATCTGAAGATCTGATTGTTTCGCTTCAAATGGTTAGAAAACAAACTACAACATCAAAGCACTCTTGTCTATTTCACATGACTTCACATGGCGTAAAAAAAAAATTTCATCAAACTTTTGCTTTTACATCCTTTCATCAAGATTTCAATCAGTTCAATAATGGAGAGTGCAGATCAAATTATATTGAAGGGCTAAAAAACGCAGTTGTTGCTTACAACTATATACATTTTTAAAGTAGCTTTCAATTTGCAGGTAGCTTGTAAAAAGTGAAATATTAACCTCCTATGAACAATTGTTTAATAAACTTTTTTGATATGATGATATATGATATGATGATAAATGATATGATGATATATGATATGATGATATATGATTAAGTGACATACCCAAAACTTGTTCGAGGAAAGAAAAAAAAAAACTTGCACTTCTTAGAGAATCTTTTTTATTTTTTTAAAGAGATTTTGTTATCCTAATTTTTAGGATAATAATACAAAATACTGCTTATAAGTGGTTCCGATAACAAAGTTTAACTTTTACAACAAAACTATAGCTGTGTGTGTTGCGTTAAGGAATTCTTTAATCACTTTCTTACCTTATGTTATGCCTCAGAATAGAACAGTAGAAATAGAACGAAAAAATTGTTTTTAATATTTTGAATGATTTTGCTACTCACAATTTTGTGCTTCAAAAGAATGTTCTTGAAAAAATTTAAATAACAATTTTGTATTTCAAAAGAATGTTCTTGAAAAACTTTAAATAACAATTTTGTGCTTCAAAAGAATGTTCTTGAAAAAATTTAAATAACAATTTTGTGCTTCAAAAGAATGTTTTTGAAAAACTTTAAATAACAATTTTGTGCTTCAAAAGAATGTTCTTGAAAAAATTTAAATAACTGTTTACAATATCCAAAATATAAATGAATTATATAAAATAAGTAAAATATAACCATAATAACATAGTAATAACATAAGTAAAATCTATTACACTAACTTTAGCGGTAACAGAATTATCTTTTTTAAACTGTTGTTCACTTGCTTAATTTTTTAGCATGATTATTATATTAGGTTTTAAATTTTTTTCAATTTTATTATTCAACACCTTTTTTACTACAACTATTATTTAACTCTAAAAATTTTAATTGAGATTTTATAAGTTTATTTATTGCATTGTAATTTGTAGTAATGACAAATGCATGTCATGGAGAATTATTCATCTAACGCATTTTAAAACAAGTTTTTCATTAGAGCAATTAAAAAAATTATAAAGCTTTAGTGTGTGATTAGATTTTAATCTAATCACAATGTTTATTTTATATTTTAATCCAATCACAATGTTAATTTTATTCCGATCCTGTATTATATATTTTATCCACATGAATTCCAATTAAACATTTTGATTTACTTATATAAAATATATTTCAACAATTAATGTTAAATCTATTTTAAAAATCACATTTGTTGCTATTTCAGAACAAACATTAACAAAAACAGTTGATATTTTTCATTGAATGACGAAGCAGCAAGACAATAAGTAATAAAAAATCTTTTATTTTGATATGTTTTTTGACAAACTTGCTGTTAAGATAAAATTGTTTTAAGTTGAGTTTGGGCTGAAACTTGGGTGCCTTTACTGGTATACCTGTGTCAAAATTAACCTAAAATGATATATAATACGATATATGATATGACAATATATGATGTGATGATATATGCAAAAATAAATAATAATCTAACCATACACAGAAAGTTTTTTTTTTATAGTGATAAAGTGATTGTAGCAAATCCTATTGGACCCCAAATAGCCCTACCCTAGGGTATAGTTCCTAAAAGAATTTTCTAATTTATTTTTGTGTTATATAAAATTAGATTTATCAACAAATGTAGAACTTCTTTAAAAAAAAATCATCACTGAACCTAACCACCCTAAAAGCTGAAGGTATGCATAGCGATTAAATTCAGCAGTACAAATGTTTTATGGACAAAAAATCATTTAGCATATGAAAAAGTCATATAAAAATAAATTTTCATATAAAAATAAATTTTCAATAAATAATATAAATATGTCCTTCTTACTTAGGTACTACAACAAGCAATGTCTGAAGATACTCTGAGTTTAATATAAAATGTTCTTTTTCCACAACAGATGATAAATTACGAACAAGCAAACTTCCACTAAAAAAAAACCCATTAAAAACAATCAAGATTTGATAAAAAATGTAAAAACAAATAGAGAATAAGACAAATAAAAACAACATTAACTCAAAATGTAACTAAAATTTACAATATTAAAATTTACATTTACATTATATTGAACAACAATAATGCATATAGAACTAGATAGTATAAATAGGATTTGTACAATATTAAATATTACATAATAGTTACATTTGGTCAGTTGATTTATAAACCTTTAGTGAGGGGGTAGAAGCAACTAACTTTTATTAATTTATTTAATGTTTGTTAATTTCCTTTTAAGACCATAACTTTGTATATTTGCTGGAAATTCTGGCATACATTTTTGATAGTCTCTATCAAAATTTGTATCTTATGGTAAAAGCATGAAAAAATGCAATAAAGATCTAATGCCCTTAACCGTATATTTATTAGAAAATGAATCGTGTATGTTTCATGTTAGAAAATGAATGCTTGTATCTTTGTAAGTTGGTTGCCCCCCTTCTCTCTTTGGTTGGTGCCACACCAAACTTTCTCACCTGTTCCCCTTCACCTTAGTGAGGGGGGGGGGGGGCAAGAGGGTCCAGACCACATACAGACCACTGATTACCTATAATAAATTAGAATTTAATGAAATAATGATTTCATTTTGAAATTAATTTAGATATTAGGTATCTAAATATCTAAATTAATTTAGAGACGTTCATTTGAACAATTATGAATGTCTATAAAAAATTACTCCCCCCATTATTTGTGTCCCTATCTACTATAAAGACCAGATCAAGGAGAAGACAACCAACCATACCTTTTTTTTTATTAAGAAAATACTTTTAATTAGTTGGACCCTTCACATAGGCTAGTTGGCGGATTAGAGAGGCACTGGTTTCTAGTAATACATTCAACCGTTGATAATTGAAAAATAGGGTTATTTAAAAATGCTGGCATTTTCGGTGTAGATTTGACAAGTTTATAATGTTTGCATTATCAGATGTTGGATCTAATGGTTTTATATGCTGTTAATCTTAGATCAAAACAAAGTGTTAGAAAAATTTTCAAGCACCTCAAAATGGCTGAAAACTTGACCTTTTTGGCAAGTGCACATTTTGCTTTTAGATATAACTGAGTTCTAAATTGCAACAAGCTGCCTATATTTTGCCCATTTCTTGTAGACAGTAGTAGCTAATTAGAAAACTTATCTGTAAAGACTTGTGGATTAATAAAATAACGCTACAGTTAGTTTCATTTTGGTATATTTTAGCAATTTTAGGATTTTTTCCAAAGTTGAGGAGGTCATAATTTTTTTCTTATTTAACATAAGTTAATAAAAACCACTTTTTTAAAGAGAGAATTATCCAGAAAATAGTTCTAGAAAATATGAGACACTTGTTGAAAGTGACAAAAAAGTTAAACAGCTCTAAAGTAGTCTGTTTTGACCGTTTGTAAATCGAGGGGGGCCACTGTGTCAGTTTCTGAGGCTATAATTTCTGAACTGTTGTAAAGTCTGAAATTTCAAATTTAACCTATCTATTTAATGCACATAACAATATGTAAAAATCAGGAAAATCAGAGACAGTGACCCACAAAGTTTTCTTCAAATTGACAGATATATATATATATATATATATATATATATATATATATATATATATATATATATATATATATATTTATATATATATATATATATAAATATATATATATATATAAATATATATATATATATATATTTATATATATTTATATATATATTTATATATTTATATATATATATATATATATATATATATATATATATATATATATATATATAAATATATATATATATATTTATATATATATATATATATATATATATATATATATATATATATATATATATATATATATATATATATATATATATATATATATATATTTATATAGGTATGACTAAAAAGCTAAAAACAGTTTTATTTTCTTGAAACCGCAAAGCTGCAAAAGATAGACATTTACTTGTATTAACATAAAATACTAATACATTTTTTTAAAAACCAAAAAAAAAACTCTCCCGCCAGTGCAGATGAAAATTTGTCCCAGCAGTCCGAAAATACAAAAAATTTAAATTTTTACATTTACAGTATGGGTAGGGTCTCATAAATGTAAGAGTTATTTTTGCAATAGTTGCAAAAATTATTTTTGTAGATCTGATTTTAGATTTTGCTTTTTTGGTAATAATGATGGGATTGGTTCTAAAATCATGTGTATATTTGGGAGGTTGGGAGGAAGGGAGAGGCTTGTTAATATTTTTTGCTATGTACTTTAAATATCAAAGATTAAAAACATAAAACAGGTTGTTACTTATCAAACAATGATAAAAAACAACCATTAAATTTGCTTTACTGTCTTCTTTAGTTTTTGAGAGTTTCAATAAAATTTTGACCAAGTTTAAAAGCACATTTTTGCAATTTAGAACAAGAATGTAATTTAGACCAGTAGCATATTTTTTTAAATCTTTTATAATCCGGAAATAAATCCCACTTTGATAAACTGGTTTTCAGCCATTTCATCTCTTTTAATGTCATTTTTAACAAATCATCCAAAAACCAGCTTTCAGGTCCAAAATGTCTTTAATTATTATATTACTAAGTGGCTTTGCTGTTTGTGCTAATTTAAGAGCTAATTTCTGTAATTGATTTATCAGCTAGGTACATAGCCACAAATCTTTTATTTAAATATCAAGTGTGTTTTTTATGTTTTTAAAGTCACTTCAGCACAGCTTCTCCTGGTTAAAGACTAAATTTAGAATATTGTTTATTTAATTACCAGCTTCAAGATCCAAAGAATGCGCTATTGCATGGATTGGAGCTTTAATAAACCACTAAACACAAAATAGTGCTGTAAATGAAGCTATTTCATGAATCAACTTTCCTTATTGCAACAATATTATACAACTCAGGACACTGAGTTGTGGCTGAAGGAGATCATATGTTAAACAACTCCCTGTGACATAAATCTGCCATGGTGTGGCAGCCATCAGAAATCCTAATTTATTCTTAATTGTTTCTGCCTTAAAATACTTCACTTAGAAATTGAATCACCGCAATGCTTCCCAAACTGTTATTTAGACAAGAAGTAAGTTTTGCAGTGCAGCTGAACTTATTCCAAAATTGTGATTAAGTTGGAGCTAAACCTTCTTCAATACTTTTTTGAATAAAAATTGGAATAACATTAGACTTTTTAAATTTTCTAAAAGGTTGGAGATACTGTTCATCTTCTTCATTATTGTATCTAAATATTTTATTGTCTCCTTAAGTTTTTCACTAAACAACCTCCTTTTTTTTGTTTTTTAATGGACTCTTATCTTTAAATTTTTTTTTGAATTTTTTTTTTTTTTTGCGCAACATATTTAGAATATGTAATCTCTTCTAATCATTAAAAACATTTTTGCCTAAATGTCATGTATACTTTTAAAAAATTTCTCTATTCTTTTCTAAGTATATATAAGTATGTATATGTAGCCTCCGTGACTGTAGTGGTTTTCATGACCTTGTAGAGGTGAACTAACATTAAAAAAGTCAACAATCCTGTTTCCAATTTTAATTTGGACTGAATTGTAAATTTATAAGTTTTTTACTATAACATAATGAACATCTGATATGCTGGTCAGTATTTTATTTACCTGACTTACTTACCTGACGCACGGTAAATTTTATGCCATAAAACCTTACAATTGTAATAAAAAAATACAACCTTCTATTTCAATACATTGAGCAGTAAAATAATCACAAAGTTGTAAGTGATATTAATTAAACGGCTAAATATAAAAAATATAATGAATGCCTAATATGGGTTAACCTGTTTAACTGGAATGAGTATGAGAGAAGTATAGAGAATATAGATAAGTATAGAGATAAGTATAGAGAATGAGTATAGAGAAAGGAAGAGTATGACCTTAGGATTCAAGAGTCAAGTTAGAAGAAAAGTTCATTGCAATAATAATTCATATCAGTTTAAAGTTTTAACAGTTGCTGGTGGTTCATTATTATTCATTATATAAATGTTTATTTAAGTTTATCTAATAGACGAAGGTAATACAATATTTTAATAGATTTTATTATTTTAACAAATACAATATTTTTATAGATTATATTATTTTTAAAAATTGTATTATTAAAATTCAGAACTAAAATATGTAAAAAAAATTATTCTCAAACATTGGACAAGGTCTGTACTGTACCTGGAAAATCTGGAAAATATGTTAATATTGGCCAAAGTTGTAAAAAACCTGGAAAAGTCAATGAGTTATTTTTTTCTTTAGATAGTCATGGAAAAGTCAGTAATTCTAGTTAAGAAGTCACTCGTTTTACAAATGAATGCTATATTTTGAAAACGTGAATAGTTTAGCCTTATCCTTGAGAAATATAAAGATCAGTCCCATGAAAAAGAGATGGATTAACCCAACCTTTGTAAATGACGCTATTGAATATTGTATATATTCCAGATGCCTCTAGCGCCTAACTTCTGATTTTGTATACTGAAACAATGAAAATATAATCCTTTCAGCAAGATCTTGATGTACCAACACAGTTGTTGTGATATTTGACGTCATATAAGTACAAAAGCTTCAAAAAATGTTCCTCTGCCTCTGTAAAGGTGTTGAAATTTTTATTGAACTAGAAGTGCATATATTATTTCAAATTTTCTATCAGTCGATATTCTAACTTCCACTACCTATTTGTGCAATGTTGATCTGTTGATTTTATACATTTTTGGCAGCTATCCGGTTTTCTAAGATTGTTGTTTTTTTTTTGTTTATTTTGCATAGTTTTTTTGTTTTGTTTCGCAATGTTTGTTGTAATTTGTTTTGTTTTGATTTTCTCAGTGAATCAGAATCAGAACACTGAATCGAATTAATATAAGATATATACTGAATAGCACCTTTTTATACACGGATGCCTCAATAAAAAACTGCTGTAAATATTTCATTATTACTTTACTCTAAGTATTGTGATAAGTATTAAAACTACTTGCAAACACAGACATTACGAAACACTTATAATATTAATTCGATTGTGGATTTTTAAGGGTTTTATCTGTTTTTAAGGGTTTTATCTGTTTTTAAAATTAAGAGAGTTCAATTTTGCAAAGAATTTAATGAGGATTGCAAATATGCAAAATTAGAAGATCCAAAAATCTCTTGCTTTGAAGTAAGTTATATCTCACATTATTGTGAAGGAAATTCACAAGGCATCTTTCTATTTATAAGACTAAATGAAAATTTACTTTTTTCCCAAAACTGCTCTATTTTCTATGTTATTTTTAATCAAACTAACAAACCTATTAATTTTATCAATCAACCAACATTATCGTTATAGGTGATTTTAATGATCCTCACACTGAACGACTAGTTTTTACAACAAAAAAAAAGAAATAAAAAAAAAATACTTTAAAAAATAAAAAAAAGATATTTTAACAACAAAAAAAAGAAGTAAAAAAAAATTATAAAATATAGGAAATTTTAAACCCATGAAAAAAAGTCAGCAAAAAAAGCCAGTAAATCAATATACGCTATAATAGATATACACACTACCGCCCATAATTATTTGAATGGTCATATTTTTTTATATAAAATATCAAAATACTATTGGGAGAACACTGAAGACAAAATCAACCTGAATTATATGTTACCTTCCTATTTATTAGGTTTACAAAATATTTATATATATAAAGTTTATAAGTTACTTGCCCTTAGCTTAATCACCCTTGGTGACAATAACCGCCGTATATATTCATGGCATTCTTTAGCAACTTATCAAATTTGTTGAAGTCAATTTTATGCCACTAATAAGTTTTTTCCAAATCTAATGCAGCATTTGGTATTAGCTTTTGACACTACTTTTAATTAATCCCATATATATGCGATAGGAGAGAGATCTTTGGGGATTCTAAATCATTCTATTTAATATTTGATCATTCTCCAACTTAGTCAAAGAACTTATACAATGTTCTGGAGAAAGTATTTTGGATTTAAGCTTTAAGTCATATTCTTCTAAAAGAAATAATGGTTTACCATTAACCCGATTTACAAAAGGAATAGCATGACTTTTTAAATGTCCCAAGTAAACTACTTTTATTATTATTCCCTTTGTTTTTACAATGTCACCTGTAGCGTTCTGACCAAAATAGACCCAACCTTAACACTACTACATCCACTATGTTTTACAGTTGATAATACAAACTATTACCATACATTCAACAATTTTTTTTTGGACAATCTTCTCATGAAACCAAAGATTTAAAACTTCATGTTGGTCCACGTTTGCAGTCATTAATGGTCTATTTTTTATGTAGTCTTTTCCTCTTTAGCATTTTTATTATTCTTATGATTATTTCAAAGCATTTCAATCAAAAATACTTGTATTTTTTAAATTATCTATTAATACAAAAATAAACATAAAAAATAGTTAAACAAATATAACATTTTTAAAAAAAATCAATATCATTTGATCAATTATGAATGGTAGTCTATAAACATATATTATTAAATAAAATTTAAAACATGACATTCTGCAATATAAATACTTTACAAAATTAGTTATTATAATTAACTAAAATTAGTTATTCCAATTAACTAAAGAGACCATTTAAACAATTTTTTAAAAAATACATTTAAAAAAATAACCTTACGTTGATTTCCTTTCTAAATTTTGCAAACTAGCTTTTATAGCATTATAAGCAGAAGCTTTTGTTTTCAAATCCGAATCAATTTGGGTGATTTGCTAAAAATAATGACAAATATTTTTACAACAAAAAAAAAGAAATAAAAAAAAATTATAAAATATAGGAAATTTTAAAATAGTAACTAGAAATTTTTTCGATCAGAAAATCTTCATTGCTTGAACTAGATTAGGCAATGAAAGTCCACTAAGAAATATGAAATACCTTAGTAGAAAAATTTGTTCAAAAGGTTAAGTAATACGAACAAAGCAAAACCAACAGATGTTAAGAAAGAACAAAAAATAATATTAAAGAGAATATTCATAAGTTTTTTTATAAAATAAAAAAAAGTTAAAAAAAATAAAACGCATTAATCAAATAAATAAAAAAAGGGATAATTTAAATAACAACTAAGCAGTGATAACTGTGTAAAATAGAAAATATAAAGATGCTATATTTTTCCTAATATAATAGATGTAAACCAAAAGATGCATCAATATCATCAATATCATAAATGCATCAATATCATCAATATAGATGTAAATAGATCATCAACATCATAGATGCTAAAACCGTGCATGGCCACAAAAAACTTTTTGTCACTCTAGTGATTTAAAAAAAAGAGTTTAACCCCTCAACGCTATTTTTCTACTTGTCAGAGCCAAGATGAAAACCCTATTATGTTTTACCAACTAATATCCACCCTTATATTCTAAACCACAACCTAAAGCTGGATGCTACTGAAATAAGTATGAAAACATTTTGTGAAACACACAGGGCTTTAAATAAACTTATTGTGATAAAGAAAAAAAATTATATTTAGATAATCACTTTTCAATTAAATTAATTTCATTAAATTATAAAACATATTTATTGGATTAAATACGTTTTTAAATATATAAGAGTGCAAGGGAAAAACCATTTATACAGTTTTTTTCATAATGAGAAAAAAAGTAAAGCAAGTTTAAAGAATTATGTAAGAAGTTTTAAGATTTTTTAGAAGTTTTTTAAGAGGGTTTTTTAAATGTTAGAAGTTGATATGTTTTTTAAGAGGGTTTTTTAAATTTTAGAAGTTGATATGTTTTTTAAGAGGGTTTTTTAAATGTAGAGGTGTATTCTTATACTTTTTGGCTAAATAATGGATTTCAATAACCCAAACAACTTTGAATCAAAGAGTTTTGTCATGACCCTGAAAATGAAGAAAAGTTAGATTAGGGTTAAAATTATTTTTATGATACAGGTGCTTTACAAAGCAACTGCTCTTATTATGGAGTGTATTTATTTTGTATCGTATATATGCCAGACATGCAAGGGAAACTAACTAAGTTCATTTTTGACAGTATTGAGTTATTTGTACCAGTTTGTAGTATTTAAAGATAGTATTAAATTTGTACCAGTTTGTAATATTTAAAATTTGTAGATTTAAAAATTTCCAGGAGATTTTCAACTCAGGAAATTTTCTGGAAAACTTCCAGAAATTTTCAGAAATTTTCAATAAAAAAATAGTTATTTTATAATTAATGAGTAAAATTTTATATCATATTTAGGCAGTTGTTATGGACAATTTTATGGGTAAAATATTGTGAAGCAGACTAAAATTTTAGAAAGCTTCTCTTTGAAAAAAACTTTTTTTGTTAAGTTTTTTTATTATAACTATAAGAGTAACAACTATGAAAATTTAATTTTATAATTTTTTAAAACTGTTTTATCCTGTTATTTGTTAAGCATATTGACATTAATTGCCATAGCAAGCTTTGTTTAAGGCTTTGTTTAAATATAATTTGCACCCCCATCACTATGGGGCATTTTCCAATAACTATTGAATTGGCCTACAAGTTTTTAAAAACTATAAAACTATATATAAAAAGACTTGATTGAATACTTACAGTATTATACAATTTTTTTTAAATTTAAAGTTATTGATTAATGATAGGCAAAATGTAAAGAATTTTTTTGTGCTAAATTTGAACTATTTAAAAATACAGTTAGCAATGAAAATAAAGAACTAGTAAGAACGAGTATTCGTCTACATTAATATGTTCAACCACTACAGTCAAATAGATACCCGGAATCAGAACTATAGAAAGTATATTTATCACCTCTCTAGACTAACCTCTCTAGATAATCCTCTAAAGTCTCTAGGACTTGGTATTCCTGCTCACAACATTAATGAAAGAGAAAATTTTATTGTTTTTTTTAAAAACTATAATTTACCTTACTAATAATTTCTGAAATGCTACGAAGTGCCTGTTTTGTAGGATATTTTGCAGAATCCCAATTAAACTTTGTTAAGTAGGTAGCAGGATCCACTATTGATAAAAATAAAAACATTATGAATAAAATAGATAAACAATATTTAGGATGCATAAAAATTATGTTTAAACATTTAAAAACATTGAAATAATGCAATAAGACAAAAAAATAGAAATTTGTGAGAATAAGAGATTAAAAGATAAAATATGAGGCAACAAACCCTGAGCCAGATGTCTATAATTTATTGCCTAATTTGATTCAAATATTACATTATTCTTTATTATTATTATTATTATTACATATTACATTATTCTAATGCAATAGTGGTGTAGTGGTAGAGCGCTCGCCTCATAAGCAAGAAGTCTGATCCACACAATCGAAGTTTGATCCTCACATCCCCAATTTGTTTCTCTGCATAGCGGTCTTGTTTGTCAAAGTTTGTGTTATATATATATTATATATTCAAAGTTATAGAGTGGGAAGAGAGTTGTAACTACATTTAAAATTTTCCTCAACAGTAATGGCCTTTGTGGCCTTGTGGAGGTGAATAAACACTTTTTTTTTAAATGTGTTTCACATGATTTGCTGAGAATATTTTTTTATTAATTTTTACAAAGACAAATAAAAATTTTTAATAAACTGAAAAATATGCAAATGCCACATTCTTTTAAAACAAAGCCAAGGTAAACCCATTATGCATTAATTTTGATCATAATATATTATGATTGTCATTAACAAAACATTTTTGGAAAAAGAGAAAAAAATAAGCCTGTAGAACAAAAAAACATCTGCAATAAAAACAAAAAAAAAAGAATTTTTAAGAGACAATAAGTAAATTAAAATAAAAACTTAAAAGGATCTCAAAACTCCAAGACATGTTGTGGTTATATTAGAGAGAATGATAAAAAATTTGTTTGGGCTAAACTTTTTTGATTGAAACAAAAGAATAAATGCATACCAAGAAAAACTAACTTTTTTATTTTAGTCAAAGCTTGCCTTCTCCGTTTTATTGTAGGCCAAAAGTCAGCATAATATACGCCACAATCTACAGACTTGATAATTTATTTAAGTGCGTTTTTTTCTTAAGAGTTTTAGTACATGATGTCATTGATTTTTTTGTTTGTTTATATAATCGATCTTTTACACAAACAAAAAAATCAATGACGTCATATACAGAAAATCATTGAAATAAAACACACTTGTATAAATTCTCAAGTCTGTACATTGCGGCATATATTATGCTGACTTTTTGGTCTACAAAAAAATTTAGCCCAAACATTTTTTCTTATCATTCTCTTTATTATGAACACAACATGTCTCTGAGGTTTGGGATCCCTTTAATAAAAACAGCAAAATTGTAAATGGTGAGTGATATAGCTAAAAAATATCTTGGATATTTTTTTATTGAAAAAGAGCTTTTACTTTCATGTTATTTTAAATTTTTGCCTCCACTTATTCTAATCTACCTGTTAAATAATAGCTTAAAAGCATTAGCTGTTTCAGATGTTGCCACCAAGAACCGTTTCACTAATGTATGTTTTCTTATCACCTTTTAAAGTATGCAATTGTTAACTTTGGAACAATGAATTTTGTTTTAAAACTTGTCATTAACACATTTTAAAATTAATTCTTTATGTAATTACATTAAGTAATGATAATATTAATTAAAGACATTAACAAATGAGTCAAAATATTTCTCTAAATAAAAATGTCATTGAAACAGTTAGAAAAACGAAAAAAGAATTTTGCAAAATTATCTACAAAATCCTTCTGCATCGTTACTTTCAATTGCTAAAGCATCTGAATCTAGCAAAACTACTGTTTATATGCTCATAAAACAATACAAGAGCTAATTTGATAATTTATCTATTGAATGAGCAAAAGGATCTTTAGATTTAAAGAGTGGCTTTATGGATAAGAAAGCAGCAAGTATTCAAAATTCATTCACGCAAAATCCTGGCTTATCGAACAGAGAATGAGCCAAAAGCTATAAAGTTTTTTGGCAGGAAAGTTAAAAAATTTTATAATTTCAAGTCTTATAGATCCATTAAATATCCAAACCAATTAGATAAGCAATCACTGGCTGCAAAAACTCAAGCTTGCAAACTTTAAGAATAAGTGCTTACAAAATTTAATAGCTGTGGAACTATGGATGACAAAATGTAAATCAACTGTAACTTTAAACAGCTCCCAGGTTGAAATTTTACAACTCAATTGTTTGTAGAAGTTTCAGCAACAAGTTCAAGTAAAAATCATTGAATAAATTTGGTAAGAAACTTTTTTTGTGACAAGCAATATGCAACTGTGTTTGGAGATCGTGAGCTTTTGTCACATCATCAACTTTAAACTCGGATATTTACATAAAGGAATGCTTGCAAGCTAGACTTTCGGCATTTTATTGAAGTCACAATATCCCCTGTTGGTTCTGGCCTGATTTTGCTTCTTGTCATTATTCAAAGAAGGCAGTAGAGTGGTACAATTCGAGAGACTGTTGTCTCTCAAATTGTTTATTACCTAAAAGCTTAAACCATATCTAAAAGCTTGAATCCACCAACTGCCTGCAATTCTTTCTCTTTTAGAAATTTTGGGGAACCAACAAAGGATATATGCGTAACAAAAAGTTTTTTATTGTCAAAACATTAAGTATAGCTTAAGATTTCATTCGAGAGTGGACGTTAGTAGGAAAAAAATTGTCAAAGACACTGTGCAGAAATTGACGTCGTTGATTAGCATAAATGCTTGTTTATTTATTCGAAGTAATGAAAATTATTAAAATAAAAAGCATTTTTATAATCTTCTTACGGTCCTCCTTATGATCTGCTTTATCTCTCTGTGCAATCAAGTTTGTCTGAGAGATTCTGTCAGCATTAACTTGTACTTTGCCTCTCAAGCTTCAAAAAGTGTCAGCTCTACTTATTCCAATATTATTAACCAAATGGCTATTATTTCGTCACAAATCAGACCTTGGCCTGCCTGATTCCAATCATATCAATTGACTAATATTTAAAAAACCATTGGACAGACGAAGAGTAAGGCAAGTTCCCATGACAAATTTTGATTAAATTTAATATATATAGAATAACACTAAAATAATAAAAAAAAATTATTTCAGGGAGTCCTACAAGAACAAAATATGTGAGCCAAACGTGGAGGTTCCCAATCAGCACTAGGTTGATTTTCAAACACAAAAAAATGGAATTCATATAAAATATTTCTAATAAATCTATAAACTAAAGACCTTAGAGTTATCCCAGTTGCAAATAAAAATCTTGGAGTTATCCCAGTAACAAATACTTATAGAAGTTTCATTAGTTAACATACTTTTAATATATTTTTTTACCAATTTACTACCTAACCAACCAATAATACTACCTAACCAACTAAAATTCAATGGACTTACACTTGTTAATAATAACAAAGAAACTTGTATGGTATTTTTGTATAATTTTGTTATTGATATATAATATGAATGAAACTGAAACTGAAAACACAAATTTTAACATACTTCCATTGATTTGCAAATTTTCAAGGACCTTGTCTTGCTTTTCTTCAAGCACCTCTGCAAAGTAGCTGGCTAATTTTTTTGTTATACTATAAAAATTAATAAATAATAATAAAAAAAATTATTATTGAAAGAAACAATAAAAAAGTAAATCATAAAAATTTACCTTTCAACATGAACATCTAATTTTCCCAGATCATCCGACAATCCAACTAATGTATCTAGTGTTCCAACCTAAAGAACAAAAAAAAAAATCTAGAGCCTAAACCATTAACCACAAATGTTAATAGATAATTATAAGAAACTTGATAACTGTGTATTAACACTATATATATATATATATATATATATATATATATATATATATATATATATATATATATATATATATATATATATATATATATATATATATATATATATGTATATATCATATAATTTGATATATATATATATATATATATATATATATATCAAATTATATGATATATACATATATTAATATACATATATATATATATATATATACATATATATATATATATATATATATATATATATATATATATATATATATATATATATATATATATATATATATATATATATATATATATTATATATACATATATATATATATAAATAGAGAAAGAGAGAAAGATATATATATATATATATATATATATATATATATATATATATATATATATATATATATATATATATATATATATATATATATATATATGTATATACATATATATATATATATATATATATATATATACATATATATATATATATATATATATATATATATATATATATATATATATATATATATATATATATACATATATATATATATATATATATATATATATATATATATATATATATATATATATATATATATATATATATATATATATATATATATATATATATACATATATACATATATACAGTGGTTTTCATAAATTTAGACGCACTCATATTTGAGAATAGAAAATTTTAGGTATTCTAACGATAAAACAATGACGAAAAAAGATTTTGGTTTAGTTTTTTTTCTATTTATCAGATAAATACATACAGAATACAAAATTTAAAAAAAGTTTACAAAAAAAATGAAATACTAAGTAATAATTAGGTACAACTACATGGTATTAAAAAAATTAGACAAAAAAAATTATTCATAAATTTAGACGCACGATACATTAGAAGCAGTAATTTATAAACCAATCAATATTTTGTGTATCCGCCTTTTGCTTTAATACAACTAAGAACTCTTCTAGGCATAGACTCAACAAGATTTTTGCACATCGCTTCTGGGACCCCATACCAGGTCTCCTTAAGGAATTCCTTCAGCTGACCAAGTGTGGAAATTTGAAACTTTGCTAATTCACGATCAATCCAAGCCCAAATGTTTTCAATCGGGTTCAAATCAGGTGAATATGGAAGCCACGGTATTGTCATAATATTATTATCGTTGAACCACTCCTTTGTATAGTATGCAGTATGTGCAGTAGGGCTATCTTGTTGAAGTTTCCATGGTTTATCATTGAGCATAAGCAGGTCAATTGATGGAATTAGGTTGTTTTCCAGTACTTCTACGTATATTCTGGAGTTGATTCTTCCGGTGTATGTTTGGCACATACCAACACCTGTGTAATTGAAGCATGACCAGATTCCTATCGAGCCTCCTCCACTTTGTACAGTTGGTCTAATGTACCTGGCGTAATACTTTTCGTGAGCCATTCTTTTGACTGTTATGTTAGATTTGCGATTGATAAGCTCAAAGTTACTCTCATCACTCCACATAATGTTTTCCCATTGATCTATTGTCCAATACCTTCTTTCACGACACCATTTTAGTCTCCTTTGTTTATCATATGGACGCAGAAGCGGTTTCTTCAAAGCAGTGTAGACTCCAATCTTGTATTTGATAAGTATTCGGCGGACTGTGCTTTGAGAAATAGATGTATTTCGCGTTGTACTGAATTCTGTGGTCAATTCTTTGTAACTAATTCTTGGATTAGCTCTGACAGCTCTAAAAAGAACACTATCGTCCTTTCTTGTGGTTGACAAGGGTCTACCTGGCCTCGTTTTCTCGCTGGCACCACCAGTGTGAAGAAAGTTTTGTTTCGTTGTCCGAACGCATTTCTCAGAAACTCCAATTAACTTGGCGATTTCTCTATTACTTTTGGTTCCTTCTTTGATGTGCGCAATAATTTGCCATCTTTCACCTTGAGTGATACGTCTTTTGCCCATTTTTTACATTTTTTTAGTGCAAAACTAACTTAACTTTTGTTTATTTATTAAATAATGATTAAATAATTCCAGGTAAGTCATATTTATATAAGGTTTTTTGACAAAATCAATTAATTTAGGCCTATTAATGAGAAATATAAGAAAAAAACTACTAATTAACTATCAATTAACAAGATATAAGACTTTTTTAATTGTGCGTCTAAATTTATGAACAAAATAAAATCAAGTTTATCAATTAACTTTTTTGTGTTAATCGGTATAAAATGAGTAATAAACATCCTGTAAAAAAAAATTAAGGTACTCTATAATAGAGTTTCATTTCCTCTTTTAAATTATATATCAAACATAGCGGTAGCACTTTTATTTTATTTTTATTTTGAGTATTTTCTTACATATATGAAAAAAAAATGAATGCGTCTAAATTTATGAAAGCTACTATATATATATATATATATATATATATATATATATATATATATATATATATATATATATATATATATATATATATATACATACATATATATATATATATATATATATATATATATATATATATATATATATATATATACATATATATCTTATACTGCTGAGTTAGGTGAGCATGATGATGTCATATTCACCTAATGTCAAATAGCCTGCTGCTGGGGGCTTCAGTACATATCTCGACTGACAAATAGCCTGACTCGCCGTGGAGTGCTGCTACATCGACTGAGGGTTTGGTATGGGTCAGCAACCTTTTCATTCATTATTCTTCGTTTTCCCTCATCCTTTTCTAAAAACGCTCACTTAAATTAGGCTAGCAAAAAAAGTGAGCAATTGCGCATATAAATATGCTATAGTAGATTGCTTAGCAATCTACTATAGCATATTTATATCAAGATAAATTGCTTAGCAACCACGTATTTTATTACCCAAAATCTATAATAACTGTACAAATAAAATAACTACTAAATTATTTATTGGATTACTCCTATAAGTACCAGATTGAGTACTTTTTATAAATCATATGTAGTGACACTATTCGATATTTTTATTTTGTTAATAGGGACACCTGAAATGCCTAGCAACAGTTTATGTTTTACCCTTTTAATTTTTCTAAAAACCAATTTTAGTTATATTTACAAAAAATTTAAGTATTTAAGAGGGTTATATTGATTACGTTGCTACTGTAACAGAAAATGAAGGTGATTTTAAAAGTTGAACTTTTAAACTCACCTTCATTTCAAATCATTTCTGGATCAAATGGTTTTTTTTTGTTTAAAATTATTTTTCTATAACTTCTAATAAATGGATCTGAGGAACAAAGAAGTCTTCTTAAAACATCCATGTTGGTTTTTTTTGTGAACATTTGCGTGTAAAATGCTCTCATACTATTTGAGCATTCTCAAAAAACCATCTCCCAGTATTCCTATTATTCGATGTACCTAAACCACCCAACTTAGGCACATCAATAACAAGTCCAAGTTGTTTTTTGATTTGTTCTGGTATTGTTTTCTTTTTTAACTTGACAAAAATCTTGTCCTCAACTGATCTAGCTTGATATTTCCTAATACCCAGTTTGATTGATATTTGTAGGACACATTCTATGCAACGTATCCAAGCATATTATGTTGATAGACCATACTTTAAACTATCGCCAGGTAGTAAATGTGTCTTAGTAAGAAAGTCAATTTTATTCATTTGAGTAGGCATGGCACCACATACTGAACAACATTGACTTGAACTTGTTACATCAGACAAATCAGAGACAACCTTTCCATCCACCATCGTCGATTCAATTGAATGATTAATCATGATATTATCCATTAAACTAGTAGGCTGCAAATTTTGTTGACACTCATTAATGTACCTATTAATATAAACATGTGGTTGATTAAATGACATACAGCTACAATTATAAATATCTAGATACGTACCTTTCTTCTTCCTTTATAACTTCGACTGTTTCTTTTTTAAAACTAAACCATACAGGCCAACAGTACATAGTGGATGATGGTTTCGGATAAAAGCCAAACAACATTTTTTTGTGACTCATCAAATCCCAACTATTCTAAAGGAACAATACAAGTAAGAAATAAACTCTCTTCTCATTGAAGATTCTTTAGGTTATTATCATTCGATGATTGCTTGTAAATTGATTGACCTGTTGATCCTTCAAAACCAATTTTTGATGAAGTGTAAAAACTTTTATGTTATGCTTCTGAACTAACCAGTCTTTTTGCAGACTAACTAGTCAAGCAGCAGTATGATCTAGCAAACTTTGTAGATCAACAGAAGTTGAGTAATTAGTTACACTTATTCTGTCTCTATTATTTGGCAAACATTGCTCTTTTGCATCTCGAACAGTATTGTAAGAAGGATACAGTTTACAGCCTACTTCAATTGTGCCCAAATGAATTTGGTGATATGAATCCATAGATTGGATTTGGTGATATGAATCCATAGACAGTCCACAATCAAGTATCAGAGCTAGAACTTTTTCTGGTGTTTAAGGCACTATAGTAAAATTTGGCTCATTATATTCTGCTAACTGTAAAACAGCTTTAGCTTCTTTTTCTTTACCATCTTGGCGCAAACTACAACCTGATGCAAACAATAGTTCTGAAGATGAAAAAGATGGAACTAACGGCACTGATCTTTTTTTCTTTGTTTTGGTATTTGAATGATCAAAATTCACATTGGGTCTGCCAGATATTACAGTTTGAATAAGAGCAGAGCTATCCTGATCAATGGAAGATTCTTTGTTATTTTCTTCGAATCAAACTTTTGAGCTTTTGCACAAATGCTACCTTTGTCAAAGATGTTTCATGAAAGTTGACAAATCATTGTTTGCAGTCAAGTTCATGCCATTAACAACTGCATCCAAAATATTAGGGTCAGCTAGATTCAAATTATTTTGTATTATGTATGAATAAATAATAATAATTAACTAAATTAAAACATAAAACTCAAAACAT